TCAAAAGTGTCGGACAGCTGCTTTCGCTGCTGGTTTTCTTGCTGTTTTAGTTCCGAGATCTGTTGACGCCATTGGCCATCAATTCTGGTTAAGCACTCCGTCAATTTTTTCTGAAAGAAACATTTCTGTTCTTTTATTTCTTCGCGGGTTTGGCGTAGCTTTGCGTTAGTAGTGGTTAGTTCACAATTCTTCTCCGTTAGTTGATGCTGCAGGACACTGTGCCCTTCCTCCAGCTGCTGAATGTTGAGAAGTACCTTTTGTAATTTTACAATGCTCGCCTTCGAGGCCAATTTAATCTGTTCTAACTCGGACTGCAGTTCATTCTTTTCTTTGCTCTCTGCGATTTGAAGTTCTTTCTTCTGATCATCTTGCTTTACCTTATCATCCTGCGGCTGGTCTTCGAAGATGTTGGATGACTCCAGATTTGCAAAATATTCTTCCATCTGTTCCTTTTCCACAGTCGAGTCGAGTACCTTTCTTTTGAGGCAGCTGTACTTGAGGCGCTCCTGAATGTACATGCTCTTCCAATCCTCCAAGTCCCGTGGCCGGCAGAGGGATTCATACGAATAGTTGATCATCACCGTTCTCTTTGAGTCGCCTATTAGCTGCTTCAAAACCCGGGTCAAATGAACGTTGTGGTACTCCAGGTGCGTTTTGGACGAGCTCTCCAGAGCTTCCAGTATATGGAAGAGGGTGCCCAGAGGGAGCCCCAGGTTTGTACTCTTTGCCAACCTGCGAAAAAGGAGGAAGTGCAGTGTTCCGCAGCACTTTCTGGACTCTCGAACATGAATGGTGAAGGCAAAGTGGCTATCTTTTTTACTACTCATGACCTCTAGCATATACGCATGCACTTCCCCCGGTGCGGCCACGAAGTGGTCATTGGTACTGGGGTTTCCGGGGCACCCGTTTAAATGTCTAAGGCAGTTGTCGGTGTCTGCCGACAGCGCAGAGTGTATTATTGTGACATACAACTCCTTCTTGGACTCCAGAGAGTATATGCTACTAAAGAGCGCGCCCAGGATTCTATTGACCATGTTCTCTGTGTCCTTCGACACTGCTGGCGTACGCTCATCGCAGATGATAACAGGTCCCAGCTCGGAGTTAAAGATCTGATCCATCATCTCGGCCACCGCTGCATCGCTGACCTTCTGCTGCGACTGAGTGGCCGGCCAGAAGAGCTTTCGGAACAGAAACAGCTTAACCTCTTTCCGCATTTTCCAAAGAAATAAAAAAAATATATATATTAAAAAATTTCTAAATAAAGAAATCTATGTGTTACGTTTGCGAGTGTATGTGGCTGAATGAGTCTACTCATCCTAGCCTACACATGAGCCTAATAGCCTGGCCTACTGTTTATTCGAGAACCCGATCGAGAACGTTCACTTTGTCACCTTGCCAACAGAAGCGGGGTGGTGGGAACGGGCTCCCCCGCCATGTGGCAAATGTCAAGCGGCCAAGTGGCAAGTGGAAATGCCAAAGTTTGCGGCAGGCAAACGCGACTGCTTCTTGTTGCCGTGGCATTAAAGTCGCCAAACAAGGAAGCCGCTAATGGGATGCATGTATCTCTACTGAAATGGGAAATCTTTAAAGAAAAATGAATATATTTGTTTCTTATTAAAACTAAGACAATAAAAAGTTAACTTACATTATTAGAAATTATTTAGAATTATTAATAGAATTTTCATTTCAATTCTTTCAGTGAAAATTGTCCCACATTTAAGTCAACTTGTATTAATTAACTAAACAGAATATCGTTTTTGAAAAAGTGGAAGGGGGTAGCTTTTCATGTGACTCTTGCAACTTTTGCAGCTGCTGCCAGTGGCTGGCTCTTGGCCTTAATGCTTTTGATTTTATTTATTTTTTTATTGGCCTAATCGAACCTACTTATAACATTGAATTTTGCATGTTGCTCTGCCTATCTAATGGTGCTGTTTTTGGTGCTTGATGCTTTTTGGGGGCAGCTGCTACACCGAAGAGTTAATCCATTTGTCCAACAGGTGCAGGACTACCGCTTCCTCTGCCCCAACACGACGGCCTTCGACCAGGAGCTCCAGATTTGCGCCAATTGGGCGGATGTGGACTGCGACAAGGCCACCTCCCTCTACGACAAGGGCGATTTGAACGATCTCTACCGCGGCGGGGATGACAGCAAGGCCGCCCACGAGGAGGAGGCCACCTTCCACCTGCAGCGCGCTGAATCTGGTAAGAAAAGCTTAATGAATTCCATCGTGTGGCTAAGTTCGATAAATCTGTTATGACCCAGTTAGCTTTGTATCTTAAACCTAGCAAGTAATTTGATACATTTGATGATGCTTTTAACTTATTACTTTAAAGTACCATCTTGAAAGAAAATTGGGCTTTAATTGAGTTATTTCAAACCGAGCTCTAATGCCTTTTCAATTTTAGGCGATGTGCGTCGCTCTAAGGAGAACCACAAAAACAACATCAACAACAACCGCGGTGTGGATCAAAAGTCACGCCCTCGCCACAATTACGCCCAGGCAGGTGGCAGCTCCGCCGTGGGTACAAGTTCCAGCTCCAGTCCCAATTTGGAGATCACGCAACCCACCAGGCGACCCATTTCCACCTATTATACACCATCAACATTGGGCAGCACCAGCACGACCACGACGACCACAACGACGGAGAGGAGCTATTACAACCACAACAACAACTACAATACAAATTACAACAACAATTACAGCAGCAACAATGACGACTCGAAACGTAAGCTAGACAATGGCTTCTCAGGCCAAAAGATGCATTGCCCAAAAATTAATCACAACTCCCCTTAACCCATCCGCAGAAGACGTAGATGATATCTTCAAGGGTTCCCACAGCTCGCACTTCTTCTCTAACCGACACGGAGGACGGGAGTACGACGAAGAGACGCCCTCCTCGTCATCGTCACGTCCCAAACCCAATGACTTGGGCGACTATCAGCGCAAGACAACGCCGCGAGTCACGCCCTCGACCCGAGGACCCAGACCCAGCACCACTACCTCCACCATGCCGGCGACCACAAAAGCCCTGAAGAAGATCACTCTTCATGCCACGTTCAACACGGACTTCCTGGACTCGAAGGTCACCACTCCGCGTCCTAGCAGCAGCATAACCAGTCGGTTTAGCTTCGGTTCCAACGACTTTGCCACCCAGGAACGAATTCAACCCACAACCTACAATCCCAACAATGGAGCCTACAAGTTTAAGACGACTCCGCCACCATCCTTCTCCTCCTCCACAAAGGTTACAGGAAAGGGTGCCCAGGACTTTGATAAGCCACGCTCTAAGCCAACAGTGGCGATTGTACGCAAGAAATTGGGGCCACAGGAATCGAACTACATTAATCATAATGAGTTCGCTGACCTGGCTAAGCCGCAACCGTTCCAGGCTCAGGGGCAGGTTTCGAAGAAATCCAACCAATTGGAGCCACACTATCAGAGGCACAAGCCGCAGGTGACCAGGGTGGGTGCCCAGGAGCCGGCACCCTTCTCGGCGCCCAGTGCCAAGCCCAGATCTTTCACGAGTCGCGGTAGTATTACCTACAAGGCCACCACGGAGCGGTATGCGGATGGGGAGACCTACTACCCCACTACTGCAGTCACGCCCAAGGCCAAGGAAGCCTTCACGCCGACCACCTTCCGTCCAACCACCTACAAGAAGCCCTACGAGCCATCAACCCTTCTCACCCACCGACCCACAGCTCAGTTGGTGACCAAGAAGTTATCTTCTCCGACCTCTCCGGCGGCAACCACTGCCAACCCCTACTCCAATGTCGACGAAGACGACGGCCAGTACCACCCAGAGTTGTATGAGAACGACTTCCCCCGCAACCGGTTCAAGTTCTTGAGAAACCGTTCCTCCAGTTCCACCTCAACTTCCACCACCATTGCGCCGGCGATCTCCAGCAGGCAGCCCCATGGTTTCCAGCAGGCTCACAGCCACCTGAAGAGTCAGCAGCAGTCCGTCTACCAGAGAGAGCGCGAGAGGGAGAAGGAGGCGGATCTCTCCGACGAGGATGAGCTCTTCAAGACCGCGCAGTCCTTAAACTTCGGGGCTGCCAGCATCAACAAGCTGAGGGCGGACATCTACAAGGCGGAAAAGACCTCGCAGCAGTATAACTCACAGTACAGTCCCCAGCTGGCGTCATCTAGTCCGCAGGCCAGCAGCACTAGTACTACCACCGCAACCACCACAACTACAACGACAACCCCACCAGCTAGCACCACCAGGCGACCAACGACTCTAAGAACCACCAGCACAACCACTAGTGCTCCCAGTCTGGCGGCCAAGAAGTCCGTGAAGAGCAAAAAGGAGCAGCAGCTGGAGAAGAAGGAAAAGGAGAAGCCAGCCGGAAAGCGGCCACCACATGCGGACGAAGACACCAGCTACGACTACGCCTACTACGACACCGATTGAGCGGGTGTTCCAGCTCCTAATCCTCACTAACTACATTCCATAGAACACCCATTCCCGGATTCCACATCTAGCAGCAGTTACATAGGTGCCACAGTATTTTAAAGACAGATCCGACACCCACACCATATCCTAATACATTACATTCTCTTATCCGGTTTATCGCTTCGACATCCATTAACACTCGCGTACATTCATTCAATAATCAGTTTCAGATTCAGTTTCAGTTTCAGATGCGTTCTAATGAATTTCCATGCGTGTATCTAGTTATTTAAATAAAGCGAATATATAATTTTAGTCGTTAGACAATTGTTGGAATTGAAGGCCGATGGGCAGCTAAAACCGTATCGAGGGGCAACCGTATCGGAGGTAGTTTTGGAGCAATTACTTTCAAGTAAAGAAAGTTGGTTTTACTTGATATCTAATATTCAATGAATTCACTACGAAATTGTACTAGTTTTTAAGTTTTCTTGTAAATAAAATCAAATGTAATTCGTAAAATCGGAGTCGTTTTTCTATGAAGCTATTGCGTTTTTTATTAAATTAAAATACAGTTAGAAATCTTAAATTAAATGCAAGTCCAAGATAATATCAAGACACTAGTCCTTAAACTTTTGACGGACACATCGTGGCATGGGAAACAAATACAGGAGCATGTTGAAAGCAGCCAAGCCCACGGCAAAAGCACAGGAGGCAGCCACATCAATGGTTTCCTATTAAACATTAAAATTAATTTATGATAATATGTTTAAAATGTTTAAAACTTACATCCGGATCCGGTAATCCCAGACGTTCGTGCATAAAGTCCGCCGGTTTGGGACAAATGACGGAAGCCGTGGGCGTACAATTGAGTTTTCGGGACTGAAAGGCGATGCTGTGCAGCAAGGAGGAAGCATAGCGGGTATGAGTGCCCTTGGTATTGTCCTGCAACCAGGGCTGAAGTCCCTTGAAGGAGCGCACTGTTCCACTGGCCAGGGCGATGCAAATCACGAGGACGTAGGTTACCGCAATGGCAGCATTAAATGGAACCTTAACCACCAGGAGGAAGGTAATCGACAGTTGCTCTGCCAGAACGAAACTCGACCAAAGGGCCACCAACAAATAGGCGAAAACCATGCCATTATTATACTTTGAATCCAACAGGAGTCTGAAAATAATGCATTAAGGAATATACTTTATCTAAATAACAAAAAAACTCACGGATAAACCACACAGCTGGCTATAACTGCAGAAATGGCAGAAAAAGGTATGGAAACCGAGTTGTAGGCAATGAGAAGAGTTGTGCCAGAATAAAGACCCTCAGGGGTGTCCTGTGAAAACTTTTTACGCCAAATGGGAACTGCAACAAATACTTTAGTTATTAAGAAGCCTTCAATAAGGAAAACCTCGAAGTATTACATAGTGATATGGTTGTTAAAATTCCACAGCCATAAGACAGTCCCAAGATATTTAATATTAATCCGTTTCTGGTGAAGAAACCATGAGAATCATCCTAAAAAAAACATAAATAGGGCTTAGACAAAGGGCTTACAATAACAAGTAATGTTATTACTTACTCCCACATTTATGTAGAAAGCCCAGAGCATGCTCATGGCCAAAGGAAGGAGGAGTAGTCGCAGGAATAGGGTCTTCATGCCCACCAAGCCGCAGGAGAATGTGGAAGCTAGAAGTTTTCTGAAGAACAAAGGAATAATATTACTTTTGATTTAATAAAACAAAGCCAAATCCATTCAGAACTTACAAGTAAAGCATCACCCAGACCTTGAGCTCGCCTGGTTTTCCATAGGCTAGGGGCACCTTCCCAGAACCCATATTATTTAATGGGGCATCTGAAATAGGTGTCTCCCGCGAGAATCTTTCCACCAGAGCTTCAATCTGCTGGCTTGACTCCAAGAATCGATCCCTACTACGACGATCCACAGTGGATAGGCAGAGATAGTACATCAGGGGATTCTCCAGCTGGGGACAGGGGAATCCTATGCCGTGGAAGTACTCCAGCATGGCACGAGTGCCACCAGAGTACACCACTCCGCCCAAACAGAGGAACAGAGCACGATCCAGGAAAGGAAATACATCAGATCGGGGTTTCTCCAACGAAAGCAGAATTCCGCATCCGGTTTTCTTGGCGGTGTTTGAGAGAATTGATATCAGAAGGTAGGCGCTCAAAGGGTCCAAACCATGAGTGGGCTCATCCAGCAAGAGCATGACTAAAAATTTAATCAGGTTTTAAATTAAATTCTTTAATGAAAATGAAAATTTTAAAGTTTAATCCTCACCAGGATCTCTGACCAGTTGAATGCCAATAGCCAGACGTCGGGCTTCGCTAATGTTCAGATACTCAACTCGCTTGTGGGCCACTTGTGAGAGGGCTAAATCTGCCAAAACTTGGCGGACTTTGGAGCTCTTAAGATAGCCACTCATCTAAAACAATTGAAATTGTTATACAACAAGAAAGGAAAGCTAGCTTCGGGCGGAGCCGAAGTGATACACCCTTGGGGTTAGGATTGGATATTTATCGCAAATATCGCCGATCTAATATATAGAATTCTTATTAGAATTTTATTTAAAAAACCGTTAGTTAGAATCGATTCTCCACCGTTCTGCATTAAAACCCTGAGAAAAAATATTTTTAAGATTTTTTGTCCATTTTTCTGATGGGTTCCCTTGAAAATGGGGTTTTCCCCCATAGGGCTCACCGTGATGGCTATATCTTCCACAATTCTCATCCGATTCTTAAGCGGAGTACCTTAAAAGATTTGTAAATCGATTCCTCGCCATTCTGCATTAAAACCCTGAGACAAAATATTTTTAAGATTTTTTGTCCATTTTTCTGATGGGTTCCCTTGAAAATGGGGTTTTCCCCTATAGGGCTCACAGTGAGGGCTATATCTTCCCCAATTCAAATCCGATTCTTAAGCGGAGTACCTTAAACGATTTGTAAATCGATTCTACACCGTTCTGCATTAAAACCCTGAGACAAAATATTTTTAAGATTTTTTGTCCATTTTTCTGATGGGTTCCCTTGAAAATGGGGTTTTCCCCTATAGGGCTCACAGTGATGGCTATATCTTCCACAATTCTCATCCGATTCTTAAGCGGAGTACCTTACACGATTTGTAAATCGATTCTCCACCGTTCTGCATTAAAACCCTGAGAAAAAATATTTTTAAGATTTTTTGTCCATTTTTCTGATGGGTTCCCTTGAAAATGGGGTTTTCCCCTATAGGGCTCACAATGATGGCTATATCTTCCCCAATTCAAATCCGATTCTTAAGCGGAGTACCTTTAACGATTTGTAAATCGATTCCTCGCCATTCTGCATTAGAACCCTGAGAAAAAATATTTTTAAGATTTTTTGTCCATTTTTCTGATGGGTTCCCTTGAAAATGGGGTTTTCCCCTATAGGGCTCACAGTGAGGGCTATATCTTCCACAATTCTCATCCGATTCTTAAGCGGAGTACCTTAAACGATTTGTAAATCGATTCTACACCGTTCTGCATTAAAACCCTGAGACAAAATATTTTTTAGATTTTTTGTCCATTTTTCGTGATGCGATCCCTTGAAAATGGGCTTTCCCCAATGTGGCCCACAATGATGGCTATATCGTCCCCAATTCTTATCCGATTCTCAAGCGGAGTACCTCAAACGATTTCTAGGCCGATTTCCCACCATTCTGCATCAAAATCCTGAGACAAAATATTTTTTAGATTTTTTGTCCATTTTTCGTGATGCGATCCCTTGAAAATGGGGTTTTCCCTATATGGCCCACAGTGATGGCTACATCTTCCCCAATTCTCATCCGATTCTCAAGCGGAGTACCTTAAATGATTTCTGGATCGATTTTCCACCATTCTGCATTTAAATCTTGAGACAAAATATTTTTTAGATTTTTTGTCTCTTTTTGTTGATGGGATCCCTTGAAAATCGGGTTTTTCCATTTGGGGTAACTTTAAAAATGAGAGACTAGTTCGCATAGAAACAGACAGACACACGGACATGCTTATATCAAATCAGGAGGTGATCCTGATCAAAAATATATATATATATATACTACTTTATAGGGTCGGAGATGTCTCCTTCACTGCGTTGCAAGGGTATAATAACTAATCAACTTTATCGTTTTTACTCACTATCGTAGGCGTGTAGTGAAGGGTTTGGGCCACTGTCAGGCCTGGAACAAAGGAGCAGGACTGAGTAACGTAACCACAACGCTGTTGGAACAAGGCCTTGGAGAGTGGTGATCCATTGAGCAGGACTTGACCACGAGTGGCTCCATCAGCGCGTCTTGAAATCACATCCAAAAGAGCTCGTTTTCCACTGCCTGTAATTTAAGAGTAATATTTTAATTTATAAAATAATTAAATATATTATATATATATTAGTTCAATACCTTTTGAACCCAGAATGGCCATAACTTCGCCACTGTGCACCGTGAGGTTGACACCTTTGAGCACCAGGGCCGAGTTGCCGGCTCCATTGAAACAGCCACCACCATCCACCTGTTGGGAGAACAATAAAAAGCATTATTGGAATGAGTTTTCCGGCTGGAAGAGTGTCTGGGCCCTGCCACTTGCCTCGGTGGTGTGGAAAATGTTGTGGGCTTCCAGTACGTAGTCGCTTCCGATCATTTTCATAGCCACCACTGGCTGGAAAATGGGAGAGAGAGCAGAATGTTTGTTTGTTTATACTTCTTGGTATCGGCTCTTCACACGCTGTTCGTGGCTCAAGAGTGGTTGCTGACTTCCAACAGGTAGCAGAGAGGAGAGGCTAAAATAGAGAGAGGGCCAAAAGAAGAATGAGAGTTGTTCATAGACGGCTTAAACAACTTTTAAGGTAATATCTTAATATTCATAAATTATTTTTTTTAAAAAGGTAATAAAATATAATAAATCTTTTTTGAGCTTTATTAATGATATGTTTTAAAAAATAGTTTGGTAGAATCTTAAGAATATTTTTTTAAAACTTCTTACCTCCGCGAACACGTCCAAACCAACTGAGCGCAGTCTTCCAACTGATCCGCAACTGCTGCCGAACCACAACCACTGCTGCTAAGCCATTCCAATTGGGGAGCAAGCCACTCCAGCTCCCACTGGAAATCGACGCTCTTTGAGCCAAACTTCCAGCCAGACAGCAGCGGGCTAAGATGGCGGCCGAGGCCAAGTTCAGTGCTCAGTTCGCTTCGAGCCGAGCTCCGAGAGAGTTGCCTTGCAACCAAACCGCGCTTGGGAACGATTCCAGCTCACCTGGCTGCGCACGGCGCTACAACACACAAAAAAAAGCTAAAAAAATATAAAAAAATAAAGAACCTCTTAAAAAATCGCATATGGAAATCTAATTGAAATGTTTTCGGCTTAAAAGGCAACTCGAATTTTTAAATAAAACTCGCGTAAGTGCAATTTTTTGTTAACGCCGACATGGAAGTGCATACCAAAGTGGATATTTTCTAGTTGGAACTACCAATAGATACAACAAAGTGCTTCTCCCATAAGAAACGCCAAATAAAAAAGCGAATAAAACAAGTGACGCGTGTGAGTGTGTGTGCGTTTTGTGGAATATGCAGATATCGCTGTAAACAGATAATCCACCGAATTCAAAATCACCGGTAGCTAAGCTTGAGAGTAAGTGTTACAGATACAAAAGCATCTATTGCCTCTAACCATGAATGAATGCCGTAGAATGTGTCCACCGCAGAAGTAATTAGAGTACGTACAACTGGTATTTACTGTTAATTGTATTACCAACGACCACGGACCAGCACTTGCCACCTTAAAAAGACACAAAGATACTCACCCAGCACACAAACACTCGTGCACTCGCCTCACTCGTATCTCTAAGGTTCGAGTTGAAGTTCGGCCTGTTGAGTATCCACCACGTTGTTGCTTCTGCTCAGAAGCGAGCAGAAAAAGAACCCGCAGTCTTGGTCGTCGTCACCAGTACAGGTCAAAGATCCCGCGAGCGGGTTTTGTCTAGCAAACGTTTCTTGCCAGCTTCTACGGCGAGTGCTTCCACCACTTCCAGCACGCCCCCCTCTTCTCACCACTGTGCAAGTTCTGCGCCCTGCAGAACCAAAGCCAAAACCAAAACCAGAACCCAAAGCCAGAGTTGGAGTCGCACTGGGAGTCAGAGCCATGGCCAAGTGCCCAACTCGACTCGACTTATTGTGTGTGCGCGTTTGTCTGCTCGTCTTGCCTTTCCTGCCTTTCTTTGGCAGGGGCGAGTGTGTATCTCACAGATACGGCGACGACTAGTTTCAGTTTGTTTGTTTGTTGGCCGGCTGGGTTCTGGGCTCTCTGGGGAACACTTTTTGTTGATTCTGCCCACAGCTTGCAGTCATTTCCTTTCTGGTCATATATTGTTATATTTTTTAAATAAATAATAAATATTGAAAGCGAAATAACCTATTTTAAATGAATTAAAAACCTTATATTTAAAATATTCATGAATCTATAAGAGCTACATGCTTATAAATGTCTGTATTATTTTAAATTTGGTAAACGATTCATGAACTTTTATGGCTTAAATGAAATGAATACCGGATATATACATTTTCAAAGGAAATGAAACGCATTACCAAACCATATTGCTAATTTAACCAACATAGCTGCCTATTTAATGGAAAAACCCTTTAAATCTTATCCATAAATACTATATCTCTTAGTGTATACTACCCATATCATCTCATAAAGAATAACCATGCCGGCTAAGCAACTTTCACAATCATTTTGCAATTTCGATGCAGCTGCCAATCTTCGCGGACAATCACTTTCAAAAAATGCTGGGTCGAGAAACGTGATTTCACATCGAAAACAAGCTTAATGACGATTCCGCATTTGGGGCCTTAGCACAATTCTCAGGGATAGGCAGATAGATATCCCTTTGCAATGCAAATTCCCATCAGCCATTCCACAAATTACTCGCACCTAATTAGCCCGTCATGTCGCTGACGAACCGTTAGAATGCTGTTAGGGCCATGTTCATTGAAAAAGAAAAGGTATTCTTTCTGCTGATATTCTTTTGAGAGCTGATATCTTCCGAAAAATGATTTCTTGTTCTCTGCGCTGACTTGGTGTTTTGTTTTCCAACATTTTTCCCATTGTTGTTGCTGGCGTAAATTAGTTAACAGTATTATTATAGCCGCTAACGGGGCCTGATGATTTGTGGCTGCTGTTTGGGCACACCATAAAAAACAGCGTTTAGAAGCTGACCGCAGCGACAAGATCTCAAAGCGGCCGTAATTCAATTTCGAACAATTTTGATGCCAATCCGACAAAAAAGAAAACAAATACTGGAGGAAAAAATGACAGAAAAAATAAACGAAAGACTTAAGACACAAACTTGGTGTCGGAGTCTAGACAAAAGTTGAAGGCGCGGCGGCCACAGCTCCAACGGAGGCAGCTTAAGTTGAATTGATTGTCAGTTATTGCCTTTGTGGTGAGTTTTGGACCCGGGACTCCCAGCGGGAGCGGGATTTGGGGCGGGATACCCAGAGGTATATAGTATCTGGTATCTAGTCTTTGTCTTGGGTCTAGTCGGGTTTTCGTTTGGTTCTCTTGGTCTACCGACTGTGAGGTGTGGCTGCATCTTGTTGGCCAAAACTTGTTCTTTTTCCAATCGCAGTAGATGTTGTTTTCAATTGAACTTAGTCGCTGGTTTATTCCAGCCGTATGAATCATGGGATTTAATGATCTCTGACGGAGGATGAAGTCAGCATCAAAATGATGAGATGACCCTTCGGACGGCTAAAGTGAAAACTCAACGGGCAGGAAATTCCAATTCAAATTCGAAAACTCTCCAGACACACAACAGGGCCATTAAAAGCTGCGACCATGAAAATTGTGTGCATTGATAGATACGGTACATGCAGCCACGTCGAGTTAATTTCCTTTTTATTATAATTAAATTAAAACATCAGAGAAGAGGCAGCCGCTCCAGCAGCAGCAGCAGAAGCAGAACAGCTGCATAATTAGGTGAAGAAAGTAAGTATCTTCACTGCCTCTGCCACGGCTACACACACTTCGTGACTTTTATGACCGTAAAAAAAAAGAAAAGAACTTCACTTCATTTCACTTCAAGTTCACAGACGACAGGCCTGGAGCTCTGACATAGAATCAGAATAGTTGGGCATGGAGATGAGTCCCCCTGTGACATGGATATTCACTCGCACTGGCAACTCACAGACGTGCCTCGAATTAATCGGACTTCGAATCCATGTCACTCAGTCAACTCGCATTTTTTTGCACTGACACGAAATATTAGCATAAAAAAATCTTTTGAATGTAAAACCATTCAATGTATTATTCAGAGAGTTTCTTATCAGTTGATTTGAATTTTTATAAAAAATTGTATTATCCACACCCATGTGGATGAACATTTTTTAGCACTAAGATACATTTTTTCAAGTGTAAGGCTGGCGCCTAAGACCCGGTTGTTGGGTTTCTGGGTGTGTTCGGGAATTTGGCCAAAATTGGTCTGTCTCTCGCATTTTTATATGCATGCAATGGCTGACAGACGCAGAGGAAATACTTGGTCTTTTTGTCTATTTTGGTTCGGTTTTGTCATGGAATTTATGTCAATTAGCCTGGCACACGTGTGTGGCGCGGTAGGGGAGCACCAGGAGAGGCATTCGCATGCAAATTTTTACCCACAATTGTTGGCCACTTTCACAAGACTGTTGCAATACAGGAAAGTGTTTTGTTGGCGGCTCGTTTGTGGGGGTTTGTTTTGGTTTTAGCTGCTCAGCGTTAATTGCCTGTAAAGATGCCCGAAACTAAAGCAAAGTTTCGTATACCGTTTGGGCAATTAATAAAACTGACCTTGCCTGAGTTTTTCTAACCACAAAGCGAAAACTGAACGCCAAACTGAAAACTGAAAGCCGAGCCGCACGCTGAAAGCCAACACCGCAATGAGACCACCGCAGTGGCTCGACGATTCGGTGGTTCTGCGGCCCGGTGGCTGGGAGGCGGCTCAGCAGCTGAGGGGGCTATGCAGCCATGACGAATATTCGTTGACGGCATGACATTAGCTTGGCTTTTTGGGGTCACAGTCAGCCCAGTCAGAGGCGACGTCAGCAGAGTGGCTGTGGCGGAATTCTTGTGCTCGCATTTCTGCCAGCTCTGCCAGTCGGTTAACTCATTTCTGGTTATGGCTCTGGCGCTGACTTTGCGACAGCTATTGGCCAATTTCGGCGATTTGTGGGCCACATTCATTAGTTTCATTTTCTATGGAATAGGGTCAGTTATGGTAGCTGTTCTGGTTTTTCATTAGCTTATTAAAATTCAATTAATCTTGTTTGTATTTGGACTACTAAAAGAATGAAAATACTAGTCCATTTCTCTCAGTGCCTGGCTTATTCACCTGCTGGGCTCGGACCCATCTCTGATCGCGTTTCCCCGCACTCTCATAATCAATTTACGCATCCGAAACTTTCACATGTCTCGAAGCACTGTCAGCTCCAAGATTCCTCTTTCCCTGCGTGCCCGTCACTCCGGCTGACCGACTGCCGTCGCTTATCTGGCTGGCTGGGATGGACGGAATGGCTACCTTAGCATCTATCGCAAAACGTGGTCAGCAATTTGCATACTCGCTTTTGTCGGACAGCAACAAAAACGTGCTAAAAATCAAACAAAAACCCGAACAAAAATCTCCGAAACCCGAGTGTTCAATTAACACATACACTCGCAGCGAACCTCTCTTGGAATGTCTTTCCTCTGGATGTTAATAATATAAAAAAATTTCATCTTGCCGGACAAGTTCAACAAACCGCTTTGTCTACAGAATCGAGCGTGGAATGCTGGCCACGGGCTGGCAATCATTTAATTTGTTTATTATTAATTTGCATCTGCACTGACTACGGTATTAGTCATCACTCGATCACCGCCCCTTTCTAAAAATACGCCCCTCAGCTGCATGCGAAGTGTGTGGGTCCTCGGAAGGGTATTTGGGGTTTTACGGCTTATACAACCGTCTATATTTATTTTAAGAAGTCATCACTTGGGCTTAAGTATTAGCCAGTTTTGGGTTTTGCGGTTTTGTCGAGAATTCTTGGAATGATCTTTGATGCTCAGATAAAACAGAATTTGCTCAGGTATGTTTGTCATACCAATATTTTAACTTTAAATCGGGGTTATTTAATTAAGCATGTAAGCACTTTCTTTTTAAGCACTTTTTTATTCGAGTCATCTTCATGTTTTCTAAATTTCTTTAATAAATTAGCAAGTATTTTCCAAGACAATTAGAAAGGCTAATTTTTTATTAACTTTTCCCATCTTAATAAAATCTTAACGACTTGTAGTGCATTCATGATTCGCTCTGCCTGCCATTTCCTTTGTGTTATTAATTGCAAATTACAAAACTGCAACTGCGACCCACTTTGTGGCAGTCTTGGCTGCAGTCGCAAAAATATTTTGTTGGCATTTATCATACGACCCGTGTGGAGGCAACAAATTATGCCACAAGCTAAGAGTTTCACTTTCTCACTGGCTAGGCCGGCGAAGAGATCTTTGTGTCAGCAGCTTGTTTCTCAAGCAGCTCCTCCTCTCCAGTCAGTCAGTCAGGCAGTTCGTCCATCAAAGGCCAGCTTTTGATTTTGAGTGACCTACCTGTTGCTGCTGCAGGTAACAAGTTTCGAGCTGGCAGTGAAATGAAAAGCCCGGCTCATTTGCTGGCGTAGCTAACCCAATTTAATGGGGCTTTTTGCGTGGGAATGGAAATGGAACCGAAACCGAACCGCAGGTCAGCTCTTTGGAAGATCAATCAGGCGCAGAAAAACGCACTCGACTTGCGGGCAATCAAGTACCAGCCCCCAGACAAGAGAGAGAGCCGCAAATGGTTATGGCCGGGACCGGGTCTTGGAGCCACTTGGTCTCGCTCCATTAAATCATAAAATGTGCGCACAAGCCAGCGATCAGTGACCGAAAAAAACCGGAGTTGGAGTTGGATTTGTAGTTGGACATGAACATGGAGGTGGAGACGAAGTCGTGGTCGTGGTCGAAGCTCGTGTCTAACTGCAGTTTTGCATCAATGCTCCTCGAACGGCAAACGGTTCTTGAGTTGTCAACCGACTGGGACTTGGCCATAGATGCATGTACATATCTGGCCAAACGGGAATCTTGAATGACAGCAACGGGATTCCTACTGAAACATCTTGCGGCTAGCTTGACACTCAGCTGGCTGCCAATTGGTCTAATCGGCCTGCTAAGCTAAGCTATTGCCAATAACCGTTGGCCAATTACTTAGCGCATTTGTGATTTATTCACACCAGCATCGGCAACAGTACCAGCAGCAGGCCGGCTGGCCGTTGACAGGCAAATATCCGCTACCCTCATGCGGAGATCATGCCTCATGATCGAGTGACCCACTTGGCCGTATTGCCACATTGTTTATGGCCAGCTAATCAAGACTATGATATAATTCTTGTCTGCAGCTGTAACTGTGCTAGACTCCAGCGGAACTGCATTGCATTGCCAGTGTCGGGATATTTGGGTTTATTTTTGTTTTTTGTTTGTCTTGCCGCAGCTGCAGCTTGGTGTTTGTTGTGTGGTATCCAGTCTGGCGATCTGATAAAGTCAGCTAAGGCTTGGCTTAAAAAACAAAGTGATAGAAGGCCACCCAAAAGGAATTGGCAATTAATATTTATCTTTATGGGAACTGTTATAAAATAATCCTAAGCTTTAGGAAGCTTATTTTAGGATTTTTGAAAAGACTATCTGTAGAATTAATTTCATAAAATTTAACTAACAACGTGAAGACATATCTCTTAAATAATTATTTTATTTTTCACCTTGTTCAACAGTGTTAATTATAAATGCAACAAAATCACCTCGAAAACGTGCTGAGACATTAATTTCTCTAGTTTTTTCGGGGGTTGAAGTTTTTGTTTATTTTGCTTAATCAGTAAATGAGATATCATAGCCTTAAGAAATTCATTTTTTAACAATCCATTCAATCAGTCAGTTTTGTTTTCTCACCCAAACATAATAAAACCCAATTGAGATAGTTTAAAATACAATTGCCAGGCACTGGGTTAAAACTAAAAGCCATATTTATCATTTTTTTTACTTTCCCCCACCAAATGAAAATTTAGTTGTCTCTGCCATCTGCCACTCGGAATGTTTTTGCTTCACGCACTTGTGCGAACAATGGATAGATAGATAGATACGTAGATACACGCGTACGAGGAGATACTTAGATATCGGTTTTTGGCTTCAGCAGCGCATCGTGATCGCATAAATCAATGTGCTGTCTCGTGGTCGTAGCCGTATCATTGCCCCCAATACCATTCATTTATAACAACAAAGCCGTGCTTTAGATGCCGCTTTTCGCAGTGCCCCTTTCCGAACAAAAGTATATAGTCCGAGCAGATACTATACGAGTATGTACTGTATCCGCGACTCTGTGTGGGTAGCTCCCATTGATGCCCTGGGTGGCGGGTCTTGAAACCACCTTCCCTGACTTCCACTTTCACTCTGTGTATGCCAAGTGTTGGCAAAACGGTTGCACCAACAAAAAGCCCAGCCTGAACCAGAAAACAGAGGCAAATAATTGTGGGGGAAAGAAATGATAATAGTAAACAAAAAACATAAACTGAAATGCGTTGAGCTGGCGAGAGAAAAATCCATTTATGCGATTATGGCACAAGTGATTTTAATTAAGGCGAATTTAACACGCAATTAAAAGTATTAGTACACCGGACGAGTTCCTCGGACTGCGGTTGGAGAGTCTTGGGCGAAAGCATGCCGTAATCCGGGCTTTCTTCTGGGCAACGCCCCCTTCACACAGCTTCGCTTTCGGCCGGCCTGCTGCAGAGTATCTTGTAATTACGAGTGCGAGTGAGTATCTTGAGCCGCTCACTTTCGCCATGCCACTTGTAGAACACTTGACTACGTAATCTCTGCGGCTTGCACTGCTCCAAAGCGGAAATCCGCACGCCTCGCTGCACTGCATCCAATCCGAGCCAAGTTCCCAGAAATCCGGCGACAGCGTCTGGGCCGCATTAGTTTGTTTGCCTTTCGGTTGCATAAGATACTTCTGTATCTGCCACAATCGGTTCATTTGCATGCATTTTTTGCAGTTTATTTTTGGAAGGCAATTAAAAGCTATACGGTGGCTTTGGTGAGGCAATCAGTCGGCTTTGTTCTTATGGCCGACGTCTTGGATTTCCTTCACTCAAGCCATAAGCCCGATTAGGTGTCATTGTCTTGGCTGTTTTCAGATTAAGAATCTCCAAGAGATATAAAGTTTGCCCAAACACAAAAGAACTCGTAAAACAAACTTGAAATTAAGTATACAACATGAGACTTGGCTATACTTTATGGCTAATATTTATTAAGCACGTATGGCGAATGAAAATTAATCCCAAAGATATATTTAATTCATAAATGATACGCTGGAAATGGGTCTTTGTAGATAATTAGTTTGTTTTAACGGGATAAATATAATAAGATATATAAATTCATATACTTGATAACCATTATAAATAGTGATACTCTATCTTGTTACAGTCAGTGTGGTATTGTTAGAGTGTCTCAGATTCGCCCCACTCTTTTTATATCAGACACAATTTCCGCTTTTGTCATAACAATGGCTGTGGCTGCGACTGCGACTGCGACTCCAATTCCGAATCCGATTCCAACTCTGCCACTGCGTGTGGTTGTGTAGATGTGTGGGCATTGTCATTAGGCTAATTCCCGCAAATTATGAGTAATAACAGTGTAGCCATTCTCGCGGCATTCTTGACCCAGTTTGAATCTCCGAATTAGCTTACGCTTTTGGCCCGTAGACTCTCTAACCCGTATCACGGTATTCTTTGCAGATATCATGGAGCTGAGCAACTTTTCGAGCAGCAAGAAGATGTCACGCGAGGAGCGACGCTACTCGGTGCCACATGGACCCAACACCCCACTGCCACCGGCGGCATCCGAAGATCTGCACGCCTGGTCCATCTACAGGTGAGTGTTGAGGGCAAAATCCCCGACAGACATCCAGACATGGGTGTGACTATTGTTTGCCAAGCTGCACCTGTCGAACGGAATGAAGTTTTGACGGTTGATTTAACCGCACGGGGCGGAAGTTCAAATGCCATAAAGAGCCAAATTGAACGCAGGCCACAGAGACGGATGGCGGCCAAGCCCCCTAATCATCTCCAGCTGACCGCATCTGCCCGCTACTGTCTAGTTACATGTACATATATCCATTTCCCTGCCCTCTATTTATTAGGCAAAATCTAAACTCCGACTTCACCGACTCGGCCCTGGGTTCGTCGGACAAGTCACCGCTGCCATATGGAAATTTCCAGCTACGCGATACCACAGTCCAATCCATATTAAATCATCCGCGCTACGGCCCCAAGTGAGTTCCCCCTCCCACTTAAATAAGAAATAATCAAGCACAATAAGGCGATAATGATTTTCAAGTACAAGTTCGAGCTTTTGATTGGAGTCTACACTTGAAGAAAATTACGTTATCAAATAAAAGTTTTACAATAAATTGATAAATAATAAAATAGTGATGAGTTATACAAAATATTTATTAAAATTTTTAAACCTTATATTCATCTGAAACCCTATTCTTTTATAGATCTCCTTTGGGCTCCAATATGTACACATACTTGAAGTTTGGACTGCCACGCGTTTTTCCTCCAAATGCAGGATCACAGCGATCGCATCGTCCCGGTCCAGGCCCCGGTCCTGGTGGCTCCAGTGCCCTGGGCGGAGTCCGGGGCAGGGTCAACCGCGCCTTCCGTGACAGCTCTGGAGCCCCGCCAGGTGCCGGCAGCAGTGGCTACGACAGCAGTGACAACGAGACCACGAGAAGTCGTGTGCCACCGAATCTGCGGAAGTATCGAAGCGAGTCCGACTTCCGTGCCATTGGTGGGATGCCGCATTCGCGTCCCGAGTCACGGGCCCAGCTCGGAGGAGGAGGTGCTGGAGTGCCGGCAGCGGCACTGCGTCAAGCCAACAGCCGAGCCAGCATAGCGGTGGGACAGCACCATCACCAGATGCAGAGTCAGCAGCACCAGTACATGGGCAATGGCAAGCACTACGGGCACAGATCCCACAGCGAGGCGGATCTCCTGGGCGCTGGACTGGGCCAGGATGCCGGAGCTGGTCTGGGCTACGACTATAACGAAGCCAGGCTGTACGGGAGCTCTAGGCAGTATGGCAACGGAAACATCCACAACGGTCGGAAACAGTCGGGCATGGGCCTAATCTATCCGAACATCCAGGTGCACTGCCTAGATGTGAATCCCTGCCTGCGCGGCGTCTCCATGCAGGCCAAGGCCGGCGATCTGTTTGCCATTATGGCCACCTCGCAGAGGGAGGGAAGTGCCCTGGCCGAGTGTCTGGCCGGATTGAGTGAGCGTCTGGGCGGGGAGATCCTCATAAACGGACAGCAGGTGAATCGACGCGGCCTTAGGGAGCTCTGCAGCTATGTGCCGGCTCTGGAGGTCTCCTCTCTGGATCCTCGCATGAGTGTCCAGTGCACCCTAAACTTCCATGCAGCCTTGAGGGGTCCTCTAGATCGCAGCGATCTGGAGGAGCGCATGGATGTCCTCATTGAGGACTTGGGCTTGAATACGGTGCGCGCCTCGAATGTCTCCACACTGACTCACTCGGAGAAGCAGCGCCTGAGCGTGGCCTGTCAACTGTTGGCGCAATCCTCGCTCCTGATCCTGGACCAGGTCACCAGCAATATGGACATCTTCGACACCTTCTTCCTGGTGGAATACCTGCGGCAATGGTGTAGCGGTGGTCGCATAGTGATCATGACTCTGCAGCCGCCTACGTTTGAGATTCTGTCCATGTGCTCCGGCGTGCTGCTGCTCTCCGGCGGACGGACCGTCTTCTCTGGCAGTCGAGCGGACTTGCCACGACACATGGGCGAATTGGGTTACCCATGTCCACCGTTCAAGAATCCGGCGGATTATTACTGTAAGTATATTGTACTCATACTTTGCACTGTTATTGGTTTCCATTCGTCACCTACCTAGCCATTCTCAGCAATTGAAATCAAAATCAATAAAATCAAACATTTCCAGTTTTTTAAATTTATTTTTTTGTTTTGGACCAGTTTTAAAGAATAATGAAAACAATATTTTTAGAATCAGTTATCAATAAAATATGCAAAACTCAACCTTTAGCTTCTCAATATCAGATATTATGCTTCGAAGCCCCAACACCAGATCAATCATATTAATATAATTCTTTTTCTTCCAGTGGACTTGGTCACCTTGGACGATCTGTCGGCAGCAGCTATGCTGGAGTCCTCTGCCAGGATCGAGTCTCTAGCCAATGCCTGGGACCAAATCAATTCGGAACCCCCGCTAGCCGCTCCGCCCGCCTCCTTGCCGAACTTCACCCTGAAGGCGGGCTTCTTTGGCCAGATCAGTGCCTTGATCAAGAGATTCGCAGGATACAAGCAGCCAGGATCGTTGCTCACCTGGATCAGCAAGCTAATCGCGGCAGCCGTGCTCTCCCTTTGCATTGGTTGCATCTTCTGGGATGTTCCTGCCTCTGATCCCCAGCTGAGCTACCACGATCGACTGGGCTACCACCACTGCGTCATGGTCCTGGTCTACTGGCCGCTGGTGATGCTCACCATTCGCGACACACAGGAGGATCGAAGGCATGCGGAGCGGGACATAAGGCTGGGTCTTTACTCCAGAAGTCTCTATATTATTGTGCAGGTGGGTGGAGATACTCCTTTAATTATTTCAATTATACATATTATCCTTTTTATATCCCATCCAGAGTCTTCTTGGATTATTCCCTAGCTTGTGCATCTGGCTGGCTTATTTGCTTCCAGCTCACAGCATGGCAGGACTCTATACTTATTCCAATAGCAGTGATACGGGGATCTACTTGTATATGGGTAAGTATCCAGATAGGGTTGTCCAGAATAAAGGTTTTTATTATGTCTTTTGATCCTCAGGCTACATGCTGCTCTACTTGACACTCATCCAGACCCTGGCCCTGTTCTGTGCCCATCTTCTGCCCTGCAAAGTCTCGGCCAGCATTGTGAATGCTCTAATTACTTTGGGCCTGGCCGTCGTGGGCGGCTACCTGGTGCATCCACAGAACCTGGCCAAGTTCTGGACCTGGCTGCAGTATGCTTCGCCAGAGCGTTGGCTTCTGCCCGTCCTGGTTCAGGACGAATACAGTGCCGAGACACTGTCAAACTCCGCAGGATTGCAGCTGTGCCGCAACAAGCAGGTGGGTGTTAAGATGAAGTTCCTATCCTAGATTCCACATGGCTCAAACAAAATCCTAAATTGCAGGTTCAGCACCAGGAGATTATTGTGCAGCAGCCCTGCCCGCCGCCCAACGGCACCCAAGTGCTAGTCGACTTCGAGCTGCTGCCACAGCAGCACATCCTGGATCCCATGTCCAGTTACGATCAGACCACCACAATGGCCCTCGTCCTGGCCTCGGTGGTCGTCTTCTTCGTCACATTCATCGTATTTTTGTGCAATTGTCGCGGTGCCTGTCGCAAACAGCGTAGCCGGTAGGATCCGTCCAGGATCTGGAGCTCGGGTGGACTTTCGAACTGTACATTTAATAGAAACTAATTTTGAAATAAATAGCATTTAGTCGAGGCAGCGTTTGTTTAACTAAGTAAAAGGCAAGTGGCTTTTTATTCGGAATGGAGATAAGGCAGTTAGGGGGTACTTCTTATGTTTCTAAAAATGCATATCAAAAATAGTTGATAAAATGTTGTAACTACTATTAACTGGTTATAAAATGTCTTTTCGCTGTAATATTCGTAAAGAAAATCGTATACTCAAGGCAACCTGTTCCTTAATGATGGAACAATCGCAAGTTGGTGTGGGCTATGATGATGCCATGCTCATCACAGGCCGCAATGACGCCAGCATCATTGGTGGAGCCGGCCGGACTGGCAATGTACGAGACACCACTCTGAAAAGATAAACAAGGATTGGAGAAAGCTCTAGAAGATTGAAAGTAGAGTAATCTTACCAGTCTAGCACGGTCAATGTTATCCCGGAAGGGGAAGAACGCATCGGAGCCCAAGGCCACGCCATTAAGCTGCTTCAGCCACTCCACTTTCTGTTCGTTAGTCAACTGGGTAGGAGCCTTATCGAACCTATGGATACAAGATTTTAATTTGAATCCTCCAAATACGTAAAGGTAAAGGGCTCTTACATTCCGTTGAACTGCGACAAGGGCATGTCCTTGCCTACGGTTCCGTTCACATAGTTGTCAATGGCATTCGAGATCTCAGCTCGCTTCACTCCAGCCTTGAACTTCATGCCGGCCACACTGGGATGTTGACGCAACCACCAGTTATCGGCCTTCTCTCCAGCCAAGCGGGTGCAGTGAATCCGGGACTGTTGGCCGGCGCCGATGCCGATAACCTGGCCATCACGGGCATAGCATACGGAGTTACTCTGGGTGTACTTAAGGGCGATTGTGGCCACAATCAGATCCCGCACAGCTGCCTCGGGCAGAGGACCTTTCTTGCTGACCACGTTGGCAAAAAGAGAGGAATCAATGACGGCATCGTTGCGCTTTTGCTCCAAAGTCAGGCCGAAAATAGTCTTCCGCTCCACGGGCGAGGGCACGTAGTTGGGGTCCATCTGGAAACATCTCAGTTGTCTCAAATTCTAGGTCCATCTATTGGTGTTCACTAACCTGCAGGATACAATAGCCGCCATTTTTCTTCTTCTTTAAGATCTCCAGAGCTTCGGGCTCGTAGCCAGCAGCAATAATGCCATCGGACACCTCTCGGGAGATAATTCTTGCGGTGACCACATCGCACACATCCGACAAGGCCACGAAATCGCCAAAGGAGCTCATACGATCAGCTCCGCGAGCACGGGCATAGGCCGTAGCCAGAGGAGTCAGCTGCTCGTAAAGATCGTCCACCATGCAAAGCTTAGCCTGAGCTGGGTTCAGGGCTACGCCCACTGCGGCTCCTGCTGGGGAGACGTGCTTGAAACTGGTGGCAGCCGGCAATTGCAGAGCCTGCTTCAGTTCCCGGACCAGCTGCCAGCCATTGAGGGCATCGCACAGGTTGATGAATCCCGGCGAGGCGTTCAACACCTTCAAAGGCAATTGGGACAACTGGGTAAATAGCTGAGCTGGTTTCTGATGGGGGTTCATGCCGTAGCGCAGGGGCAGCTGAGACACCCCAGATCCATACTGCTTCCGGAAGTAGTCCGAGATGGCATCGTCGTAGCTGGCAGTATGGGTGAAAGCCTTCAGGGCGAGAGCCTGACGAGTCTCCAGGGTGGTGTCACCCGCAGCCTTCAGCTCAGTTAACACTCGGTCGTAGTCCGCCGCCTCGCAGATCACCGTCACCCTCTGGTGATTCTTTGCCGCTGCCCGGAGTAGGGTCACACCCCCAATGTCAATGTTCTCCACCGCATCGGCCAGGGTGACGTCTGGCTTGGCTACGGTGCTGGTGAAGGGATACAGATTGCACACCACCAGCTGGACCAGATCAAAGCCCTGCTTGCGCATGTCGGCCAGATCGGTGTCGGTGGTGCGGGACAGTATTCCGGCGTGCACGGCCGGGTGGAGAGTTTTCACACGTCCCCCCAACATCTCGGGGGCTCCAGTGATCTCGGATACATCCTTGACCTTCAGTCCAGATCCTCGAAGGGCGGTGGCAGTGCCGCCACTGGCCACCAACTCGAAGCCGAGGGCTACCAAGTTCTTTCCCAAGTCGAGCAGGCCCGTCTTGTCCGAAACGCTGAGAAGAGCTGCCGATTGGAAGTAGATTTCGGTTCAAGATTATAAAAATTATTCCAGAAAATAAAAAATGAAACATATATTTACGTAAAACCATTAAAAATGTAACTAATCATAGACTTACCAATCTTGTTGGAGCTCATGGTTGAAGTCTAAGAGCTGTTGATTCCTGCGACTGATCCGTTGGAAGACTGAAATGCAAATGAAAGACGAGACAAGTCAATGGATGGTGTTGGATGGGCTGGGGCTGAAAAACTGAACGCGGTGCACAAACATGTTTTCGCGTTTTCGCTTTTCTGGCTAGGCAACGACCTCCCCTGCGGTCTACGGTCTACAGATCCCATTATGAGAGGTGTAGGGTTATCAGAGTTACTCCCCAAACCGCTTGCATCAGCAGCCCCGGCAGATCGGTTTGGAATTGAAAACAACAACAAATGACTCAAATTTACGTAGGTACATTTATTGCCAGGCCGGAGACTGGTTTACAATTCCTTATCAGTATCAGTGACGCGGCTGATGGTTGCCTCCACCTCCTCGGGTACCCCCTCGTCAGCTCTCTTCTGCTTCTTCTCCTGGAGTTCTTCCATTGTTTGTTTAGTTTCCTGCTCCCGCTCCCTCTTTCTTTGCCCTTCCTTCCGGCGTTTATGCTTGTTAGATTTGAGATGCAGACCCCATTGGTATTCCCCAACGAAATGCCTCTCGCAGATGTCACAGAAGTGGCTAGACTCCTCATCCAAGCCGCTTCCAGGATGTTCTCTTTTAGCCATGGGTTGAATCCCACTGGCTTCATCATTCCTATAGCTCTCAATGATGGCCTCCGCTCGCTGGTAAACCGCCTCCGACCAGGCGCCCACATCACTGGTGTCTAGCTCGTAGAGATCTGGGACCTGGCGATCCTTGCTGGCCAGGAACCGGTTGTTGATCCACTTTAGCTGCTTTTTGGAGTAGCGTCGAGTGACCAGCTTCAGCTCATCGCAGCACCTACGTAGGGTTTCTAGACCCTCTGGAAGACCCTCCTGCTTAAGTTCCTCGGGAGAAGGCAGCTTGAAATTGTGATTCTTCAGATACTCCTCTATCTCTGCATCCTGCTGTTCATTAAACTTCATCAAATATGGTACAAACTCCTTGTAGCCAATGGTCTGCAAGACCCCCGATGTGTACGCTTGGACTGTGACAGCGTGGTGGGCTTTGTGAAATGCTCTCAACTCCGGGAGCAAGCCCTGCTTCAGCATTCCATCAACTCGGGCATCTAGGCGCTCGTTAAGGACGTCCTGCTGGCACCGTAGCCACAGAAGGATGGTGTGGGGGTAGCGTAAAGGTCCGCCCAATCGGTTGCCACCGGGCTGTCCGCGCTGCTCCGCCAGCTTGTTGGTCAACGTCTGCCCGGTGGCCTGGTAGACTTCAATGGCTCGCAGTATCTTGCGGCGATTGTTTGGGTGTATGCGGTTCGCACTACCCACGTCTATTTGGGCCAAGTGTTTGTGCAAGTCCAAGGTGGACATGCCAGCCAGTTCATCTTCCTGCAACTTCAGTTCCAAGTGGGAGGCATGCGTCTCTTGAGAGTCCACGAGAATGTCCCACATCAAGGACTCAATGTAATAATTGGTTCCGCCCACCACAATGGGCGGCTTAGCTTTGGAGAGGAGTCCCTCAAGTATAGGAAGCGCGGCGTTTCGAAAGTGGGTGACTGTGAAGGGCTCGGCCGGAGTGGCTACGTCCAGAAGATGGTGCCTGGCCTTCGCCTGCTCCTCCTTAGTGGCCTTGGCGGTTGCTATGTCCAGGTGGGTGTAGACTTGCATGGAATCTGCACTAATTATCTCGCCTCCAAAGCGCTCCGCCAGTTCCAGCGATAGTTTCGTCTTGCCGGTGCCCGTGGAACCGAGGATTACAATCAGCGGCACCTTGCGAATCATACTTTTTCTAATACTATTTAAATTCAATTAACCTTTGACTAAGCTACACAGCACGCCTACGAGCACGTGTATTCCAAACAACCTGTTGGCTCTGCCGGAGACAGCTATTCAGATGTAACATCTATTCTGGCCTCAGTTCCCTTATATTCTTATAGATTATATAAAATTTAGAGAAGATCTTATTCCTTCTATTTTAATTATTTTTACAAATCACGAACTTACAAATCCGCGACTATCCGTTTTCTACGTATTGATATTAATGTATAATCAGCTGGGAGATTTGAAATTAAAAAAACTTAACAACGAAGCTTTGCAGCGCCACCGGTGGGAAAAAGTGGAACCTGCAGAATCTTAAAGAGAGAGAATGGCAATTATTTTATTTAAATTTTAAATAAGGCCTTAAATAAAATAATTGTATTATTTTCAGATTTAGCATAAGTTTACTTTAATTTGTTTAATTTATAATTTATATGTAGTTTAAATAAAATATTTTTGAATACTGAAACTATCGGTAAATCGTGGCATCCCATCTCTATTGACTCAGAATGGACCTCTTTAGTATGACCAAGTCTAGTACTCTAATTTGGGCATTGCCAACCTAAGACCTTTCGAATTAGCCAGAACAGCCGTGAAACGGCTAGATAAACAGCACTGACCTGCAGAGCCGTGTCCCGAATAACAAAAAACAACACAAATAGAGCAGTCAATTAAACTCCGCACCGTATAGTGACCAACCCCCGAAGTAATTACTGAAACAAGAACTCAGGTGCTCGACGAATTTCTGTCGGACGGTTAGACTTTCACTTTTACGTTTCGCACATCGAAGATATAAAAGAAAAACAACAAAAGCGCAGACGACGAAGAGCAGAAGAGACAACTGTGGAGAAAGGGGGCCTCAAGAGTGGCGGAGAAAGAGCCGAGCCAGCATGAGGTGTGGAAAATACTCGCAAGATACCAGCGAGATTCGCCAAGATCCGATAAAGCAGCGCATCTAGAACCGTAACCGTGTGGGATCATTTTCAAATGTCCAGCGGAACAACAAAAAACAAACAGCAGCACTTCTGGGCCAGCGTATAAGCGTAAGGTGCCTGTTAGTGTGTGTGTCTTCAGCAGTATTTCCGCAGAGCAGAGCGGAAGAGGCCGAAATTCGTGTGTGTACGTGGTTGGAGGCTTCCAAATTGGGTCATATTCAAATCCCCCTACTATGGAGAGCAGAACGCAGCAGACCGTCCAACACCAACAGCAACAGCAGCAGCAGTCGCAGAGGAGTCGTCTGCCGTCGTCGCCCAGTCCACCTCTGAATGTAAACCTGGGTGGCGGTCCAAACGCAAACAGCAACAGCTCCCTCATGGGTCTGGAGCAGGAGCCGCCGGCATCACAATTAGGCAGAAACAATAACAATGGCGGTGGCGGAGGAGGAGGAGGTGGCCATCACCGCAGCCACAGCATCACAAACGCAGCAGCAACATCATTCGTGAATCTTCTAGATGGCTTCACGGCGCGTGTCTCCACAGCGGTGAGTGTGGCAGGTGGTACTAGTGGCTCCAACCTCCTCATGGACCGAAGCAGCCAGAGCGCCGCCAGCACGCCAGGCTCCACCCATTCAATTGCCAGTCTCACCAGCATGGGCTCACTGGGAACCACTGCCAATGCCCTCTACTCCTCCATTGGCAGCGCCCTCAACTCTATTACATCCCCGATAACGGCTGCAGCGGCTGCGGCAACAGCCACTACCACCGAGGTAGTTGCAGCCGCTGCTTCGGTGATCACGAATCACCTTAGCTCACCCACAAGTGGCACTCCTCCACATGGACTGGACCTCGATGATGGAGACGACGAGTGCGATGATTGCGAAGAGGACGAGGATGATGCCGTGGATAACGATGGCCACATCGCAGCGCCCACGCCTTCAAAGAGCTGGGCTGAAAACAAGATGGTAGTGCAGGAGATGCGTAAAAAGATGTCCAACCTGTCGACAATGGTGCCCACCAATGTGCAGTTCCGGCATCTGTCCGACGGCCGGGCCCGGATCTACTACCTGGGAACACCGCCGCAGAGCTGGGAGACCACACTGCTCTTTACAGACATCAATCTCCAGCAGACGGAGGATCAATCAATGCACGGGCAACGCTTGGAGTCTGGAGATTCTGGTGCTGGGAGCCCAACATTGAGTGCAGGCTCTCCTACAAGCACCAGCAGCCAACAGGCCTTCCAGTTTGGATCCTTTTCTGTAAAGCCCAGGTGGGATTCTTTTATATAACTGCTTAAGTTTCAACTAAGTCATGTCATTTTCCAGGCTATCTTGGACTCCACTGTTGCAGCAGCCTATCCCAAATATAGGGGGAAACAGTGGTAGCGGATCAGCCAGTCCCTATGCTCGAGAGCTGCAACTGCTTCTAGAGCGCAAACGTCTCTCTAACTGGGGCATCACGTGCTACGAGCTCCATAAGCCCTCCGGAAAGCTGATATTTCCTGGCTTCAATGACCTTTATCAATGTCTGGATACGGGTTATAATGTAAGTAAACTTATAGTATAATTAACGAACTATTCCTTATTCCATCATATATTATATATTACAGTCTGGCATGCTATTCCCGACACAACTGCGAACCTGTCCGCAATGGATTGCGTTAGATCCTCAGATATGTCCTCAGAACTCTGACATGATAGCCTACATCAGTGACTGCGACCTCTTCGTTACCCACACGTTGAGCGGCCACGAAAAGCGGCTTACCTATACGGGCAACAGTAGGCACTCCTATCCGGACGATGCTCTCAGTGCTGGAGTGCCCTCATACGTAATGCAGGAGGAGTTCAGCCGGTACCAGGGCTTCTGGTGGCAGCCACATTCTGAAGATGGCATCTACCGCATCGTCTACGAGGAGGTAGACGAGACGGAGGTCTCATTGTACACGTTTCCTTCGTCAACGGCGGTTCACGGTCGGGTAGATGAGTACCGTTTTCCGCGCACTGGCAGCACCAACGCCAAGTCCAAGCTCAAGCTGGTTCAGTTTGTGCTGAACGAGGCGCTGCAGATCAGCGAGATTTGCATAAAGGATCTGCCCTACTCCCTGCACGCCGTTTTCAGCTGGCTGGAGTACATCGTGCGAGTTGGATGGACACCGGATGCTAACTAGTAAGTCAAACCACTTGTTTTTTATCTTGAATATATAATAATCTCATTTTTTCAATTCTAGTGTCTGGGTTCAGGGGCTGGACCGAAAGCAGCAGCGCTTGGATGTCTTTCTAATACCGCTGGATAATTTCTGCGAGTCATACAGCAGCCAAGTGTCCACACCAACCGACTCTATCGGTGACCACAGTTGGCGCAGCTTATATAGTCGCACCATAACGCCACTGCAGGTGATCTACACCGAGCGCTCTGATTGCTGGATTAATGTGCACGATATGCTCTACTTTCTGGATCTGACGGAAACCAGCGTCACCTTCCTGTGGGCTTCAGAGGAGACAGGCTTTCGCCATCTGTATTTGGTGACATCTAGTCTCATGCTGACGCACTCCAATGGACAAGCAGATGCGGGATCGACTTCCACCCAGCCCAGCTTTGTGGAGCAATCGGCACTGCAGCCGCGTATCATTAATAAGGTGGCGTTGACTAGCGGTGAGTGGGAGGTGCTGGCACGGAATCTCTGGGTGGACAAAGCCAATCAGCTGGTCTACTTTGTGGGCTTACGCGATACTCCACTGGAAAAGCATCTTTATGTTGTCAGCCTGCAACGACCCGAGCACATACGTTTGCTAACGGAACCGGGGTACTCATATCTTGTGGAATTCGATGATGTAAGGAATCTGATGATTAATTTGAATCATTTTTTAATGTATCCACATTTTATTCATAGGATTGCCAGCTTATGCTACTGGTGTACTGCAATATTCAGCGACTGCCCAGCTGCAAGGTGATGCGTGTCAACCAAACCTGCCAGAATGGCGGGGTCAACGGCATCCAAATCTCATTGGTGGGGTATCTGAACGAGGGTGGTAAGCCGGAGCCGCAATACTGCCCGCAGATCTTTCGGCCGCAACTGAAGTCGGGCGATATAGTCTACGCCATGGTCTTTAAGCCGCATAATTTCGAACTTGGTGTAAAGTATCCCACGGTGTTGAACGTTTACGGTGGACCCGAGGTGCAGACAGTAAATAATACGTTTAAGGTAAGCATACAAATTTGAGACTTTTGAAGATATAGTAACCAACATTTCCACAGGGGAAACATCAACTGCGGATGCACATGCTGGCCGCCCAAGGATACTGTGTCATTTGTATCGATTCGCGAGGATCTCGCCATAGAGGCAAGCGATTCGAAAGCCATATTCGCGGCCGAATGGGTCAGGTTGAGCTGAATGATCAGGTAGACGCCCTGCGCATTTTGGCCGACCAACTGGGATACATTGACATGGATCGTGTGGCCATACACGGCTGGTCCTACGGTGAGTTCAATAGATCTTTTAAATATTCTTCCCAATAACCCAATTTATAAAATTAATCCAGGTGGCTACTTGAGTCTCATGGGCTTGGCGCAGTATCCGCATATTTTCAAAGTGGCCATTGCAGGAGCCCCAGTCACTGACTGGGAATATTACGACACCGGCTACACGGAACGATACATGGATCTGCCGCAGGATAACGAAGCCGGTTACTCCGCCGGGTCCGTGCTGAACTACGTAAATTCATTTCCCGAAGAGTAAGTAACTTTAGTATGTCCTTTGGATTATAAATCTAAAAACTCCATTACAGGGACAACCGGCTGCTGCTTATCCACGGGCTAATCGACGAAAACGTACACTTCTTTCACACCTCGCTGCTGATCAGCGCTCTGAACAAGGCCAACAAACCGTATGAATTGCATTTGTTTCCCGATGAGCGTCACTCGTTGCGTAATCTTGAATCGAATAAAAATTACGAAACGAAATTATTATCATTCTTACAAAACTTATGAGATTCGTAAATGTCGCAGATTGCTAACCGCAATATACCTAGCAACCCGCCCTCTAAATAGCCTCCACGATTGTCTTTGGTCTTTAACTTTTTTTTATAGTTTTAAAGCTTGTTTTTATTAGTTAAAAAATGATGAAAAAAAATTAAATATTGATCATATTTTAGCTCCCCTAATTTATAAAATATGTTTGTTTTAGATGTATTAGAAAACATAAAAATTAAAACGATTTTCAAATTCCCCTGCCTCCTTGATCTTCAGACCAAGCTGCTTTTTGTAATTAATTTATGCTTTTTGTTGTCTCCCCACACATTATACTCTTAATTATGATGTAATTGTTTTAATATGCGCAAATGTACATTTTCCTTTCTCTAAATATAAGTTTTGTTTTAGTGAGTAAATACGTATGTTTGTGATTGCATGAATGTTTCCCCAAAACGGAGAAAACCCTTAAAACTTGTCATGCCCATGGAGCAGGCCATCAATTACAATTATAATATATATCTCTTCGATAAAACGTATTTAAGATACTTGAATGAGTTTTTGAAAACCGACGTTCGGTTGAAGTATAAATTGAATAAAATGTACTATTAAATTAATTATGCCTAAATATAATCATTAGTTTTATAAAAAAAAAACGGAAACATGCAAGCGTATATATACATATATATATTTTGTTTAACAATTAAATAAACAGTTACGTGTAAATGGTGGAGTTTAATTAAATTTTTTTTAGGGGTTGTAATATATTTTAAGCTTCCAAGAGTTAAAAATTTGTCCTTAGGAATTATTATAGTGGGTTCTTTAAATATTACATCTATGGTAAAAATATACAATTTTTAAAAGCCTAGATTCTACATTTTTATGTCAAAATCAGCCAAAATCCTTTAATAATACTGTCAATACGCTAAATATTTTAAGAAATATTGAACTAATTAATTAAAAAATTAGTACAATTATAGAATAACTAAATTTCTTTTATAGAAAAAACCGATGAAAAGGTAAAAAAAAAATATTTAAAAATATAAATAATTTATTTCAATGCAAGAAGACTTTAAATTTAAATTTTAATTTCAAAAAAATTTGTACTTCATATTTACAATCGATGTATCGATAAATTATGCTTTTCTGCACTGTCATCTCAATCAAATAGAAATGAAAGCAAATTGGTCGAACGAATTTGAAAAAATGTTAAGGATAACGCCTATAACAAGGCCTATATTCGAACTGCCCGAGTACATTTTTGTGGAGACACAGTGGATAACACGAAAGTACGCTGCTGAAAATAATATAATTGTTCTTGAGCCGGAGCGCCATCAGTCAACCAATGGAACCGCCACAGATGCTATTCAAAAAGGGTTGGAAAAAGAAAAACGTCAGGGATCTTCAAGTTGCTACACTCCCCCTATGCCAAGAAGAGATCGTTGTATCGGAACAGAGAAACCAAGCTATAGTGATGTGGAAATACAGTGCAATATTGAGGAAGATGAGGACTGGAATCAGCCAGACAAACAACCAGAGGACACCGCGGATCAAGAAAACGAAAAATTCCTGCTCTACGTGACTGAAAAAACAAGCATGTTTCCAAACGGTATGATGGAGTGCTTGGTTTGCGGCGAGGTTTCCAAGACACTGCACAAGCATCAGACCCATGTATCCATGCACTACAGTTCGGTTAATATCTGTTTCCGATGTGGCTGCGACTTGGGCCCATGGAATCTTGTAAAGCATGAACCTGTGTGTCCCGCGTTGAAAACTAGAAAGTACTCATTAGCCCTTAAGTGTCCGCATCCGTTGTGTAGTTCTACACTGCGTTCGGAGAAGAATTTAGTTAACCATCTGAAGAATCACGGAAAGAGAAAGTCCTTCAGATGCCTGAAGTGCAATGCACTTTTTACGAGTGCCACATCTTTTATAATTCATCGAAATCGCAAAAAGAGCTGCTCAAAGGCTAAAGCACTTGCGCTCTTCAGAAGGCATAAATTATACATTGGGAGAACTAATCCTAAGGTGTGTACCGTCTGCGTAAGTCGATTCGGTAGCGAGAGTCGATGTCAGCGGCACAGAAGAAAGTGCATCAAAAGGTATCAGACAGGTCTAAAAAAAAAAATGATAAGAGAAATGAAACAGAAATTGACCTAAGGGGTATTTATTAGCATATAAAAATCAGTAACAATAAAGACGAGCTTCTACGACGCTTGAATTCCATGAGCTTTCTTCAATCCCTGGAACAGCTGTAGTTTTTCCAGGTTTACTTCCTTAAGGGTTTGGACCGCCAGTTCTAGTTGAACCTTCTTAAGGGCATGTTCGCTGGCTATGTATTGCTCGATGAACTTAAGACTAATCTCGTCGGCAGCGAAATCTTGCTCCGTCTTGCCAATTGCCGAGTGGATCTCTTGCTCAATTCCTTGTTGGTCGTCGGGCTTTCGCATTCCGCTCCTCAGCTCCGCCAGAGCTCTCTCCGCAGGCGTTGGATGGAGTGCGTCTAATTTCGCCAGCGTATCCTGATAGTCCACAGGCACTTTGTGAATTTTGTAGCTCAAGGCAATAAGTTCCACGGCATTGGATAGGTAATCTCGGCGTATCATGTCGTACAAGAGGTCGTCAATGCACCGATGCCAGGCGTAGAAGAATGCCATGGGACCGAAATGACGAGTGGATCGGAGCAGATCGAACTGTTTCGATTCGTTGAGGTGTTCGAATACTCGTGCTGATATATTGTGGAACTCCGGTTCGTGGGGCTCATATTGCACCAAGAGCCTGTCCAACACGAACTCATACTTATGTTCTATCAGGCATTTGGCCATTAGCTCCTCCAACGCGAACATGCGGGGGGTATACGATTGGCGGCCCTCTAAAGGAAAGTAGAGCTGATTCATCCGCTTGGTGGTGTCCAGGGTGGCATAAGCTAGAGTGCCATCCGTTTCCCGCACGACTACCTTGCGTTCTGACTGCCGACGACCAAAGGTGATGTCCGTGAACACGTACTTGGTGTCGGCAAAGTCTTTAAGGGCGGGATCCTTGGCTATAATCCGATCCACATCCTCTTTTATCTTAACCACTGGAGGCATTTGGAGCATGTGCTCTGCTTTCTCCACCAAGCTCTGGAAATCAGACTCTAGTTGTTCGGTGGTCATGAACTTGGTTTCGCTGCTGTTGTCCGGCACAGTACGCTTGCGGAAGACCCGGTCCAAGTGCAGTTGCGTCATGGACTGGAGCAGCTTTTGGGTCTCAGTGTCAGTAAAAAGCGGCTGCGGATCCTGCTCGTACTTCAGCGTGGCGGGCTTTGTTGGGGCGGTGGACACCTGGCGGAGGGCATGCCGTAGGCTTTGGAGGCCACTCAGCTGCCTTATTTGCCTCACCAGGTGCATTTTCAGTCAAAAAAGAGCCTGCGACAAAAACACACGAGTCCAGAAATTAGCGATGGCAATGAATTCGTGATAGCAAGCGACGGGAGTAACTGTATTTACAAAAAAATACCGTACCTTGTCAGACTATCGTAATTTTTCCTATCGATGAATTACTTAAAAAACATCTCGAAATTGTATTGGTCGGTCACACTGGTTACTTGCATTTTGGCTGGAAAAAAAACTGCATTAAAAATTGGCACTAAAAAGTACTCGACACCATGGAGAATGCCGACGTAGGCAGTGCTTGTGCCGCTGCTCAGAAGCGCCGCTTCTCGGCTAGCGATTGCCCGGCTCGAGATGCGGTTATCAAGCCATCGCTGCCCGAAGCTGCACCGGAGCAGCCGCAAACGAAACAGCGCCGTAAGGGGGAGCCGCAGCTACCGGAGGAATGGTTTTCTGATTGTAACCTAATGGAACTCTGCGATGAAGTCCTCTATGAGATCTTTAAGTACCTGGACACGCCCTCTATTATGGCCTTGATGCAGTAAGTGTCATCTGGGCTTTTTCCGGAAGTCCAATCGGATTTCTCGAACTTCTCCAACATAAATCCACCATTTTTTTTAGCTGCTCACCGCGTTTGGAAAATCTTCTACTAGACCACCGTTTTTGGCACCAAATTGATCTCAGCAATGGGCCGCTGCCCATGGGCATCCTCGAAGAGATTCTTGGGCGCGCCACAGAAAAGACACACACAGTAAAAATTTGCGGTCCTCCATCATCGCAGCATGTGGCGGGCGAGGGTCGCCAGTTTACTTTGACACTAAACACTGTCTTCCCTAAAGTGGCCACGCAACTCAAAGTACTGGAGCTGCAGGGCGTTAGCCTGGATTTCGAATATGTAAGTCACTCAAGAAGGAATCACGGGAGAAATTTTTAACAAATGCATTTTTATTCCCAATCAGATACACATATCCGAGTTTCCATCCTCGCTAAAGCGCCTTCTATTAAGAGATTGCAGTGTAAAAGTTGGCAACATGGTCAAGAGTATATTCCATACTATAGAGATGCAGCTGGTGGATCTTGAGGTGAGTAAACATATATAAATGTATTACGCTCAAAAAAACATGAATCGCTCGAATGACTAACTTTATGATAGAGTTGTTCAGCTTATTAAGCTTTCTTTTTATTGATGGTTTATTTTGTTTTCCTAGGATCTCGGCATAGAAGATAATGACTGGTTTGAGCCCTACTACATTATGGCCCTGTCCAAGCTCCCGTCTTTGCGTCGCCTTAGTCTCAAAGGCTGCCAAATGCTCTGCAAGTTTGTGCCCTATGGCAGCATGGCTGCTCGTTTCGGCTTTCAGAAGTTAGAGGTTGGAATGATCTTCAAAAAGACAAGAAATTTTCTTTTTACTATCACATATTGTTTTAGGTTTTGGACCTGCGTTTGACTCCTATCAACAACTCGGATCTTCAGTGCTTCAGTGCAATTGAGAATCTTAAAGAACTGCGCCTAGAATCACCCCCTAATATGACTCCTGAAGCTCCCGAACCTCTTAATTTGACTAATGCCCAAAAAACAAATAACGGCAACCTTAATGACGAGGCTGCTCCCGTGCAGCCGGAATCTCTTAAAGTGCTTAATGACGACGAGCCCTCCACCTCACGGGCAGCATTGGAGCATATGCGTGCAACGATTGCACAAAACAAGGAACAAACGGTAGCGGAAGCCGCTAACAGCGAAAACACCAACGAAAGAAATAATCAAGCGCCCTCATCAGCACCTGCAGCATCGAGTTCCCGGGAATCATTACCGAAGCGTACCTCTGGCTTTTCGGAATCCGAGGACGAAGACACTTCATCTACCTCGGCTTCTTCGTCCGACAAATCCGAGAGTACGACATCACAAAGCAATGGTCACAATGGTGAGGCTTCCGTGCGGTCACCGCTAGTGGTCGTAGAATTACCCGGTATGGGAGCTCGTCTTGGTAGACAGGAACAACCAGAACAACCGGCGGCGGGTCCAGAGAATCCAGATAACCCCGAGGCAGCTGGGCAAGACCCTAGACCTCTGCCACGGGCATACATTTATGTGCCCGAAGCTGATCCTGTCGGAGGAGAGAATCCACATCCGAATCGTAATCTTGTTTCCCTTCTGGATCAAGTGGCGGATCACTTGCGAAACTGGCGTGGCAACAACCCAGCACACAGTCGCTTCTTGCCGCGACGCGATCAGGTAATCTACATGAATCCTCATGGCGCCAGGGAGCATATGGTCTTGATGCAGACGCGCCGGCATCGTACTCAGCAGCGCGGAAACTTGGATCAGGTTGTGAGTCACCCGATGTTCTGGAACATGTTGGATCCCCTGGATCGCGAATATGCCCGCCGTCTACGCCATCGCCCTCCACCCTGTTCAAGTTCGCATCAGTACTATGTCTCCGATCGAGCGATCTACAGCTTTGGCCGGGCGGCGCGCCCCGTAGAACCAGATGTGGTGTGGATACGGCACATTAATCGATCACCCAACAACCGCTTGGAGCGACTTTCTCTACGAAACTACCACCATATTACTAATCATACACTCGAGCATTTGGTGCAGTGTTCTCCCAATTTGGTGTACATCGATGTTAGTGGCACCAGCATAACGTTATCGGGATTGCGTCGCTTTAAGAGCAGCAAGCCAGAGTGCGAAGTGGTGGCTACCCACTTGACGTTGGATGACAAAAACGACGAAAGCGACGTAGTAATAGAGCCGGAAGATGATTCACCGGATGATCTAAATGATAATCAGCCACCACAGTCGCCACCACCTCCGCCTGAGTTGGCGGCACCATAATCGTTTAATATTGAATGTGTTTTGTTTTGTATTTCCTGATATGTAAACATATTCCTGACGCGATGGTCCGTGATGAATTAATTTTTAGCAAGACGACAATGACGAAAACATGGCCAAGCCGACAAACCACAACGCTGGCTACAAGCGAGTGCTGTAGCTCCAGTCAACTAGTATTAAATTACAAAATAATCAAGCCCTTGTACTATACGCTAGGCTCATTGCATTGTATAAACCCAGAAGTCCAAGAAATCAACCTCCTCTTAGTTAGGAATAAAATATCACGTGATCCATATGGTATACATCTAATGAAATGTGTATTTGGTAGCTATTTGTGTGTAAGGACAGACCAATCAATTGCTCATATGTTTGGTGTGGGAATCGGTGTTACAAATTGCGTTAACCAGTGTAGAAAGTATGTAAAAAATTGTAGCCAATTTTTTAGGATATGGGTGCATTCTCTGTGCTGTTTGAGGACACTTCTTCCTCATATGCGTGGTCGGAATCTTCTGTGTCGTCGTTATCAGATTCCGAATCGCTTGAGCTCTGACAATCTGCGATTTCTCCGGTGAAGAAGATAACAGCCTTGGGAATGACTCGCTCCTTTAGATAAAAGCCAAGCTCGAAATCATTTTGCAAAATAGCCTATTCGAGGAAATGCAAATCATTGTTTAACTAGTTTTTATAAGTATTAAAGGATCTTACATTTATGTCGCAGTAATTCGGATCGTCTACACTTTCCGGCAAAACAGGCGGCGAGAAGAAGTCAAAGAATGAAGACTGATCCATTTCATCTATTAAAAAATAATTTAGTTGGCTAAAAAATACTTGGAAATGAAGAACCTTCTTACTTTTCTTCTCGCGATCTTTCTCTGACCTCCAGTTAATGGTGCAACCTTCGCACTTGAATATCTCAGCTCCGTCATAAGTAAGCGGATCTGCTGGATCCGGATTGCAGTTGAGATAATATGTCTTGGTCAAAATTCTGTTGGTGAAGAATTCGTTGGGTTCGAAATAGAACTCAATATCAAACTTTACGACGGGATCATTGTAAAGACGAGGGCGAATATCACACAGGTGCTGTTAAAAAGTTATTTTAAAATAAAGCCAAGTTTATATTTTGAATATAAGGATTCATACCGCCAAAATCTTTTCGTCCTTCTTGCTAATAAACTCAGTATATGAAGCCTTTAGGACCCGTAGCCAAAAGAAGTTGACATATTCATTGGGCGTAGAGTCCCCACGATTTTTTTTTCGAAATTCACTGCCAGAAAAGAAATCAGTCCGAATTAGAACGATATTATTAGTAAATATTGTTAGGGACCTACTCTAGGATCTCCTTGCGCTTCTGGAAGATGGCGTTGTGCCTTTCCTCGTACAACTTTTCCATGTTGTAAATGTCGCGTTGCATGGCCACGTCCAAATTGATTGTATCCATGTAAAGCTGCTTCAGAAGCATGATCGTCTTTTCTTCTTCATCAGTATACTTACAGTCTAGCTGGAGGTTCATTTTTAAATTGTGAAAGATCATCGGCACAAGCTGAGATTTCAGCTCACTTACAGGCTCCGAAGAGTTGAATTTTATCTTTTCGGGTCGTTGGCGCACGGCCTCCATTTTTGGAAGGTGTTTTGCTGCTTGGTTCGCCATCTTGAGGATGTTTCCCTGCAATAGAGTACTTCTAAACACTAAATAATAGGTATTTTCCACTTATTAATATACGTTTTGATAAGTTTATACGTTTTTTTCTGTTTATTCGGATAATATAATGTGTTGCCTTGACGGACGAGGTGGGAATGAGTCGATTTGGTTTTGAAGGCTTGGTAGCTCCCAGCAAAAAAGTCACAGCACACTTGTTTTTAATTTTTTAAAATACCCAAAAAAAGAAGAAAACAATAGTGCTGAAAAATGCATGTATGAATAAAAGACAATATATCGATTATTAAATATTTGATTATTTTTAAATTAATAATAATTATATGAAATTTCTTTAGAAAGTTACGATAAAACACTAAAATAAGTTTCATTTTTTTTTTTAAGTATTTAAGACACTTTTTTCGCAGTGAAAGCATCTTATGGGATACTTTAAGGGCGGCTTTAAGAACCCTTTCTTTTTGGGCTGCCATTGAAATGCAGGCCATGTTTATTGGCAATTTAACGCACATTTAATTCCTGTTTTTTCCTGTTTATATTTTTGGTTTTTCGTTAATTTTTTTTTTTTCCGCCAACTTTTCATTTGCCATGTAATTAAGTGTGGCCCAGATGCCGAGCCGGGGGGTGATGTGGCTGCTTAAGTGTATGCAAATCACGTGCTGAGTGCTGCCTTTCAGGGTTCAGCCATCGCCTTCTGTTAAATGGACCGAGCTGGGTTCACAGTTTTCCGAGTTCCGCGAATTTTCGGTTGTCTCTTATCGTCCGGAAGAGGAGCTGGTTTTAATAATGTGGGCCAGGCTTAGTACCATATGTCAGGCTGTGAAAAACACCATCTAACAAAAACACCGAGAGGCCCAGAAAAAAAAACAAAGAAAAAACGAGTAAATTTGTCGCTTAGGCAAACATTTCAAAATGAAATTATGAGTGGGGCTGCAGCGGCGACAAAAAGTGTAAACAAATTTAGCCAAGCGGAAGTCCAGACACACACCCACACAGCGAGGCACACATACACTCACATATACACTACGCACATACCCGCCAAGGGAAAGCCGCAGAGGATGTGGGAAAATGGGCGGAGAGATCACATTGTTGTGCGCTGTTGAATGTTTGCTCACAAATACACATGGCACATGGACGCATGCAGTTGTCCAGTTTCCACTGGACATCCCCACTTCCACATCCCCGGCCTTCGTACTTGATATTATTAAATTTTTTCCCTAAATACCGCTGGGAAATTAAAAAGAAATCATAAAGCAAATAGGGTAAGGCAGCCAGCCATCTGATGACTTGCTGGCCAATTCCGAGATTTCTGTAAGAGAAATAAATTTAGCCTTTAATTTCTGTACAAAAAGGTTTTTCAATATTGTATACTTTTTAGGGAATGCATAGGAAGAACAATACAACCCTCAGATAAGTCGGAAAGAAAGAAGAATATCTTCAAAATCTCGAGATATGCAATTTCATTCTTAATAGCTTAAAATAAGTGGTTATTACATACAAATTCTCACCAACATCTAGGCCCGAAATATTTTTTAGTTTAGAGGGCCAATACCATACATATAACCTCAGGAGGGTTAGGGCGTATAGGGGCATATCTTTCGCAAGTTTCACCTGATTCTTAAGAGGAATACCTTAAACGATTTGTACGTCGATTTTCCACAAATCTGCATCAAAATCTAGGAAAGAAATATTTTTTAGATTTTTTGTCAAATTTTCTAGGGGGTTGCCTTCCAAATCTTGAAAAATGCATGGAAGGCCAAAATAACCCTCCCCGATGGGCATATCTTGGGCAATTTTCATCTGATTCTTAAGAGGAATACCTTAAACGATTTGTACGTCGATTTTCCACAAATCTGCATCAAAATCTAGAAACGAAATATTTTTTAGATTTTTTGTCAAATTTTCTAGGGGGTTGCCTTCCAAATCTTGAAAAATGCATGGAAGGCCAAAATGACCCTCCCCGATGGGCACATCTTGGGCAATTTTCATCTGATTCTTAAGAGGAGTACCTTAAACGATTTGTACGTCGATTTTCCACAAATCTGCATCAAAATCTAGGAACGAAATATTTTTTAGATTTTTTGTCAAATTTTCTAGGGGGTTGCCTTCAAAATCTTGAAAAATGCATGAAAGGCCAAAATGACCCTCCCCGATGGGCATATCTTGGGAAATTTTCATCTGATTCTTAAGAGGAATACCTTAAACGATTTGTACGTCGATTTTCCACAAATCTGCATCAAAATCTAGGAACGAAATATTTTTTAGATTTTTTGTCAAATTTTCTAGGGGGTTGCCTTCAAAATCTTGAAAAATGCATGGAAGGCCAAAATGACCCTCCCCTATGCGCATATCATGGGCAATTTTCATCTGATTTTTAAGAGGAATACCTTAAACGATTTGTACGTCGATTTTCCACAAATCCGCATCAAAATCTAGGAACGAAATATTTTTTAGATTTTTTGTCAAAATTTTTGGGGGGTTGCCTTCAAAATCTTGAAAAATGCATGGAAGGCCAAAATGACCCTCCCCGATGGGCATATCTTGGGCAATTTTCATCTGATTTTTAAGAGGAAGACCTTAAACGATTTGTACGTCGATTTTCCACAAATCTGCATCAAAATCTAGGAACGAAATATTTTTTAGATTTTTTGTCAAATTTTCTGGGGGGTTGCCTTCAAAATCTTGAAAAATGCATGGAAGGCCAAAATGACCCTCCCCGATGGGCATATCTTGGGCAATTTTCATCTGATTTTTAAGAGGAAGACCTTAAACGATTTGTATGTCGATTTCCTACAAATCTGTATCAAAATCTAGGAACGAAATATTTTTTAGATTTTTTGTCAAAATTTTTGGGGGGTTGCCTTCAAAATCTTGAAAAATGCATGGAAGGCCAAAATGACCCTCCCCGATGGGCATATCTTGGGCAATTTTCATCTGATTTTTAAGAGGAAGACCTTAAACGATTTGTACGTCGATTTTCCACAAATCTGCATCAAAATCTAGGAACGAAATATTTTTTAGATTTTTTGTCAAATTTTCTGGGGGGTTGCCTTCAAAATCTTGAAAAATGCATGGAAGGCCAAAATGACCCTCCCCGATGGGCATATCTTGGGCAATTTTCATCTGATTTTTAAGAGGAAGACCTTAAACGATTTGTATGTCGATTTCCTACAAATCTGTATCAAAATCTAGGAACGAAATATTTTTTAGATTTTTTGTCAAATTGTCTAGGGGGTTGCCTTCCAAATCTTGAAAATGCATGGAAGGCCAAAATTACCCTCCCCGATGGGCATATCTTGGGCAATTTTCATCTAATTCTTAAGAGGAATACCTTAAACGATTTGTATGTGGATTTTTTAAAAATCTGGATAAAAATCTAGGAACGAAATATTTTTTAGATGTTTTGTCAAATTTTCGGCCCAGTTGTCTTAAAAATTTTCAAAATGTATAGGTGTTTTTTTTTTATAAATTTAGTAATACGCTTTAAAATCAACGAATGAATAAAAGTCCATATCGTTAGACATAATCGCCCCGGTTTCTTTAAAATTATTTTCTTCGAAATTAAGCAAGTCTTTAGTTTTGTTTATCAATTAGCAAGTATTCCAGCCCTCCAAGTGCGAACCCATTTAAGCTGTTTAGCCATTTTCAATTTACATTTCGGTCATTCAATTAGGAGGTGCATAAAATTTAGCTACATAAGTAATGGAGCAGCCTCATCATCATCATCGTCATCAGCTTCGGCAGTGGGGATCATGGCCATCATCCACGTGATTGCCGGGCGTTCTGGAGGTCGTCAGTGCCAGCAGCGTCAACATAGTTTGAATTTAATTAAAACCAAAATTAGTAAAACCCAGAATAGAGCAGCGCCGTGCAGGACATGGCAACCCGAGTCCATGCAGCCCGAGCAACAGTTACTTGGCGCAGGGATTAGAGCTCCTGGTGGAGGTTCGGCTCCTGCTCCTGTTGCTGCTGTTCCTTCCTGGCAAAAGTGCATGTCTGCAGAAAATCGAATCAGCAGCTCAACGTCCTCATCCCGAACCCGAACAAGTCCTGGAGCCATCCACCTGGGCTTGAAGCAGCTCGACGCCATGCCGAAATATCTGCAACAAAAGCATAAGATGTAGTGGAGCATTTGATGATGAAACGACGTGTTAATTAAGGTCATAATAATTCAACTTAAATTGAAAACTTGCCCGGCAAGCAGCCCGGCCAGCAATGCCACCTTTCAGCCCCCTTTTTGGGGGCGAAGCGGGTCGTTTGGGCATCCTCAGCTAGCAGGCTAAGCTGATTGCAACAAATTATTTTGCACCTTGGTTGAACTTTCCTTGAGCTGCAGACAGCATGGCGTTGATAAACGAATTCTGTTAGTTTGCTTTGCTTATTTTAAATGGAACTAGGTGGTTCGGTGGGGCAAGACTGTTGTTGCAGGACTAGCTGCAAGTGGGCTAGCTGGCCGGTCCCAGGGACAAGGGCCAATGTTGCCTTTGGTTTTGCATAAACCAGACAACGCATCTAATAAGTTGCAGCTGTCGGTTGCCACCCTTCTTTCCACTTGACGACGATGGAAGTTTTAAAGTTTTTCCTGGGCTCCGCCTAATGCCTCAAAGTGCAGAGCTGTGTTTGCCATTAAATTTTATTAGTTAAATGATAATTAACAGTTGGGTGGAAACTTTGAAAATATCTCCGTCTAATTTGCATAGCCAACTAATTGGCTTAGAGGGTCATTGCTTTTGCTATTTTTCGGAGCAATATCTATGTACGTGGTATCCTGTGGAATGCTTGGGATACGTACATACAGACATAGATGCTCATAATTAACATCCACACACCTGCAGTTTGTCTTGTCCCGACATCCTAATTCGAATGCTATTCATAATTCTAACACACATGGCTACACTCACAAGTACACACCGACGAACGGCGACGGATGCAAGAAGCAGATCCTTGCAAGCCGCAGGATAGTTTGGCAAAAGCTTACTTGGCGCTGCGCCCACACCTCCGCACCTCCGCACCTCGGCACCTTAACCCGAAAACTTTTTACTAATTTACATTCATTACACACATTTGCAATAAAACTAGAAACCCAACTCGTACACAAATTCAAGCGCATGTGTGCCAGGATATATGTATGTGTATATTATCCAGGACTGCGTTTTGTATATACATATGTATGCATGTGTGTATGTATTACAACTACATACATTGACATTTTACATGCTTCATTAGCGTGTAAGCGCGGTAATAATGAAATTTCCTTATGGCTGCATTTACAGCTTCACTTTGGGTGGAAGTGGGTGGTGGTGGTGGGGGAGTTCTGGGTGTCGGGTTCTGGGCGGGTGATTTCTTGGAAACTAGTGCATATTGATGGAAAGTTTTTGGGGGCGACTCGCCCAGAACTTGAGGCTATACCACCGCAATTTATGTTGCTTTCTGGCCCAAAAATTTAAGCACCTTAAAGGTGATGGCTCAGCAAGGCAGGCAGGCACCTGCCGGCTTTTAGCCACTGATTGCGAACAGACAATGGCAATCGAAATTGCTCTGAATTTCGACAATCAAATCAGCCAACAAGACAAACACAAAAACATAAAGCAAAGACATACAAATTTGTCAGCAGTCAGTCAAAAATGAGCAGCGGAAATGATGGCAGAGCTGGCGGAAACGGAACGCGACAAGGTGGGTGGGCGGAGCAAGTCTTAGGGATGGTCCTGGGGCGGAGATGTGGCAAATCTGCTGCACAGCTGATGCCGCCTGCCACATGACCTCCCCGTGACTTTTGCCTGCTGTGCTTCTGGCTGAAATTAAAATTGCATTACGGGGCAGAGCAAGCAACGTATTGGGTACAGATTTGGGTTGGATTTTGCCTTGGATCGTTTCGTTTGCTAATGCACATGGGGAAAAATACCAGCTTAGTCTTATTAAAGAATTTTAAGGAATTTTTTATGACCAATTTCAATCGTATCCTAATATTTAGTTTCTTAGAATGTAGCTGCAATTACCACATTTTGAAACTAATATTACCAACTGGGGACAAGTGGAATGCACTTTAAGTTTTGTTGACTGTATTCTCATGTGTGTGCTTGTTCCATAAATATTTCAATATTTGTGCACATTTGAAGCTGCTTAGCCACGCCCACTGCCAACAGACCCGACAACCAAGTCAGGCAGGAAATAGTTTAATTAAAATTCCTTTGGCAATGTCATTAAGGACATTACATTTTGTAGATTCTGGTGCTGACGCTGTTGATGTTCAAGGTATTTGGAGAGGCCTGCCAGGACGAAGGACATTTCAATAAGACACGACGCTGCCCGGCCAGCCCTGTCAGCCCTGCCCTCTCGGGTAGGACCCGTCCAGCCAAGGACCAATGAATTTCATTGTTTTCGCATGCAAATTTGCAATGTGCCAAGCTAAACAAAGAAGGCGAAAGTCACAAAACACAAAGCAGCAAACAAAAGTTAAACGGGGCGATCCTTTAAAAGACCATAACGGCATGTAAATTCCTTTAGCACGCCCCATCGATATGGTGCCCAACACCGCCCGCCAATGCCGATGCCGATGCCGCTGTCGATGATGATGAGGAGCCTCTCAGGAAAGTGGAAAAAACAAGAGCATAAAACCTAAATGCAAATGGCCAAAAGGTTCGATGTAACGTCCAAAAGAAGAAAAAAAACACTACAATGCATATAAAAGAGCAAATAAAAAAGAGAAAACAAAGAAAAGAACAAAGAGGCGGCTAGGAAAACAACAAGATTAAAATGAAAACAATCATGACAATCAGGGACCGCAAATGTCAAATTAAATTATCAATAAATTTCCACCAAGGAGCCATGCCGGACGCAAATTCGTCCTTCCATCTGACGCCTTGGATGGCACTGGCAATATCAAGTATACGCCACCGCCACTGCCACAGTAAAGCATGACCATCAGTCCATCCAGACCACCGAAAGAAGGACCAGGACATCACCACCCACCGCCATCGATGGCAGCGTTTGTAGCACATAATGAAATCATTTACAAAATGAAAACAACAGCAGCAGAAGTGGGAGTGCCAAAGGACACTAAAAAAAACATTGCATATGATATTTAAAATTTTTAACCAGTTTGTAAAAAATATTGTGGTAAAATGAATGATTAAATGTTTAATTATTCAAATGTTTATATATTTTATTGTTAGGAAATTGAAAATCGATTAAGAAGCACCAATTTTGTAGTGCACTTTTATAAATATTTAAACTGAACATTCCCAGAATCTATGTATGCTTATTTAAATTTTTTGCTTACTATAACGACATCAGCGATTGAGACAACTGGCGAAGCGACAAAGCAGCAGTGGCAGGATGCGTATTTAGAATGATTTTGCCTGTAGGGCGTGTGGATGTGGTTCCTCTTTACGATTTCCGTTTGTCCACGGTTCGAGCTAAGTGTCCACTGTCCGTGTCCGTGGCATTCCGGCGCACTCGTCACTGGGGCGAAAAACAGAAAACTTTGCACGCCATTGAGCTGACGGCACTCTGGCAGAAGGAAAAAAATATAAGGCACACTTGCAAATCATAAAACAACAGACGCGAAGAAAATGTTTTTTAAATCTTCATAAATATTCATTATGGTGGCGAGTGCTGGAGTGGACAGAACTGAACTGAACGGCGCGGCGCTGAGGTACTGAGGCAGGGCAAATAGTTTGGGGCATGGCAGTCGGCAAATTGGGCCTTGGCCACGGCCATTGGACACTGGCCAGTCTTGGACTCTGCTCTGTGTTGGCTCGAGGGGTTGGAGGATTCATGTGGGTGGCACTCTGCTGAGCGGTAAGCTTCGTTCCGCAGATGGCAGTACAAGAAGTTTGCCGCAAAACAAAAACAGAAACGGCAAAAATAACAATAAACTGGCTTGTGGAGCGTAAGTAAGGAAAGAAAATGAATTGAGGGCGTATTTCGAGTGTGTGACGGCCTTGAAGCGTGAAGATGAGGCCCGAACCAGACGCCGACAGTTCATGTCCATGGCCAAAATGGTCAATGGTACGGGACCTGAAAACACAACAGAAAAAAAAAAACATTGCAAACAACTATAAATAACAGTACGTACCGCAGGACGAAAAGAACATCCTTGGTCCGTGGGCAGCACCACAAAGCTGTCAATTAGCAGAGTTTCTTACTTAATTTTTCAATTTTTAGAAGGCCTTAGGGAAAAGTGACAGGAAACTGAACATTACCAATGAATGAAGCGTCAATATTCTGCTTTTTAATATCTATAGATACCACGGATTTTTCAATAAACTTATAAATTTTTTCTATCTTTAATATAAATGTATCCATATTAAAAATTGTAATGCAATGGTGATGTTCTCTTAATTAGATTAAAATATTGGCTTCAAGATTTATTCATTTTTCGCAAAAATACAAATACAAAATACAAAATAAAAGAGAAAGCTCCCCTTAAACAAAAAAAAAGGTAGGGAATTTTAAGCCAGTTCCCATTAAATTCATAAAGCTTAAAAAGCTTTTAAGCTTTTGAATCCTTTGAATCAAAAGGCTCTAATCCGCTATAATAAGGATAATCCAACAATTTTAGCCCAAGTTAAAAACAAAAAAAAAAAAAAAAAAAAAATAATTAAAAAAACTATTCTCAAATTTAATCTTTTATCTAAAATGTTACTTTACTATTAGTGCAATATTCTATTTTGATTATCCATGATCTTAGAGCCTAAATAACTTACAATTTTTTTTAATAGTGAAAGCATTCATAAAAAAGACTATTTTTCTGATCGTACACTTATTTGTCATATGAAAGGATATTATACCCTTTATTTTTAGTTAGCCTGTGTTCCACTGCAGACCCTGTATTTCCTCCCTTAAGTTCCACAAGCCATAACACGAGGGAAATTTTCTCTTATGGCGCGTGGCACACATTTCTTGCGGATGCTAAATTGTATAAAGAAATTTATAAATCCATTTTGAATAGTGGGTTTCGACTATAATATACCCGTTTCTTTATAATTAATTTAAATAGATCAGAATCTTAACTAGATCTAGATCTAGATCAGAATCTTTTTTATTACATTTTTATTTTAAAAGAATTTTCATAGATATTGGATATTGTGATAGATTATTAGAGAGATAAAAATAGATTACAGTTCCTAATTTTAAAAATATTCCATTTTATATGAACTTCGTATGAACATGAAACAATCGTAGCATTTTTGACCTAGGCTTTTTAAAATTAACTAGTATAAATGCACGAATAATGGAAAGACAGGGATACATAAGTATATATCTATCTAGTATATATCCTTGATGATCAAGAGGTTATATTTATGTTGTCTTTCACATATCATACCCCTGTATTTAACCGTTACGGGGTATAAAAAAGAGCAGCAGTCGACACTGCAAGAAGAGGAAGAAGAGGCTGTATCGCAGAAGAGGCTGTAATACCAATTACATTGTGCTAGTCGTTCGTACGCAACCCCCCGATCAACCCCTTCCGCCGGCCATTGCGCTCGTGGGTGCTCGCCTCGGCTAACTGTTGAATCAACGAGTGGTTGCCGAGTGCGACTTCGGGAGTGCTCGTTTTTGGCGAAACGATGGCTGCCCTGTATCGTTAGTCCTCATCGAAACGCGCAAGCAAGCGGTTGTGTCCTCGTCCCACTGCCATCTTAAAAAAATGTGCTACCTTTGATTCTCAAAATTCCACGTCGAAGGCAATTAATAACGAAAATCATCATAATCAACTCTATCGAATAAGGATACTATCTGCCCATAAAAAAGTGAAATTTCGGAAAAATTAGGGATTTTGATCGGTATTAACGCGGTTCGCTTCATTCGCACCGGATTCGATTGTGACTCTCGCGCTCCCGACTTTATCGTTATATAGTGGCTCCAACTAATTCAAGTTCTCTCATCCCCAAACTAAGTCCATTCTCTCTCGCGGAAAACCGTCGAAACGCACATTGCCGGCCACGATTTTAGAGCCGCAAACGAAAAGAAAATTAACCGGCAAACATCGGGCACTGCAGTTTGTGATTAACCGCAGGCAAGACGAAGATTTTTAATTAAATTAAGAGCGAGTGGGAAATGCGAGTCACCGCAGAAGCAAATGTAAACAATCAGAACGGAAATTAAATATTTAAGTATTTGTTCGTGGGAAATTGTGTCGAATTTTAAATTAGGACGACAGCAGGACCTATGTGCATACTAAAGTGACGTATCCGCATCGTGTGTGTTTTGTGCGGTTGTGAGTGTGTGTCCTCCTCACCGGTCGAGTCCTGCCGGGATATACACCTGCAATAAGTAGTAGTGTGAGCTAAGTCAAAATAGCCATAAATAAAGCCCGGCTAACAAATAAGCAAGCAAACAACTAAGAAGACTAACAAACAAACTGTGAGGTCAAAGTGCTAAGTCAGGCTAAAAGACCAAAAAGTGACAGAATTGGTCAGAGCTTCGAGCTCCGAAATACCCCTCTGATTTTCACTGAGGTAAGTTCCTCCGTCACCTGTTGAAATTCGAATTGGAGGAGTTCTTAATGCAATTATTCATATGCACATGCATCCGCTTTATACGTGTTCGTTGACGAGTGGAAATCACGGAAATAAAACAATCGCACAATTTAATTGCAGCCATTGTTTTTGTTGCACGAGCACCATCCTGCCTCTTACTGAATATTAAATGGTAGAATTGCAATCATTCAGCTGCATAATTAATATAAAATAAAGCTATGCGATTTTCGCAATCACTTCGAATTGTTTTTTTTGTCCATTCGATTTTGTTGCTCTTTCTGCGGCATTATTTGGTTTGTGTTTTTGTTGCATATTTTTTAACAATTAATTAAAAATATGTAGGAAATATTTTCGCACTTCAATTGCTTGCTACGTTTTATTATATATGTAGGTATATTTTGTACCATCCATTTGTTGTCCATAAATTGCGAGACGGCTTTGGCCATGGCAAATTGCAAAAGATTTAAAGCATTGTGTAAAATCGAAGTTTATATAGAAAACAATAATGTGTCAGTTGCAAAAACCAAATGCACATCCGATGGCAGTGGCCAATCCTGGGAAAAACGCAAAGCTTTCAAAGTGACAATCACAGTTCGTTTACTCGCATAATATGCCAGTCCAGCTTAACCGATTGATACATGGAATATATATTCGCATATGAATTATGAATTGCTGGAGATATTAAGCTCTAAACGAATGATTTTGTTTCGCTTTAGTATTTAATACTTTAACGTTATGGGTTTTGACGAAATTTCATATGAAATCTAAGCTATTTGGTACATATTAAATAATAAAGTCATGTCTACTCTTAACTGATCCTTTGGATTAAAATGTATATGTTTTTAAAAATAACGCATGTATGTATGTATTTTTAATGGATTTTATTTTTCACCCACTCAGTGATACAGCCATATATCGAAAACTTTAATTTCCGCTTAAATACTGCGGCCAGCAGCCGGAGCTTAAAAATGAAAGACACATCAATAAATAAGCATGACCGGCCCGCGGAGTCAAGTCCTCCGGCATACCATAAACATACACCATACATACGTAAATAGATCCCACACGCAAACGAACACACACACGCATATTTATATAAAAGCATAAATAAGTCAACACACATAATGGTTAAATAATTAAAGACGCACGAAAGCCACGGCAATCACATGGTATAATAGTTAAAGACATTCATATTTATATTTATCGGGCCTGCACTCGCAGGACAGCGCTTAATGGTTGGCCTGGTTCGGCCATTATTCAGGGATTCGGGATGGCAGGATTCTCTTTCCAGCCGGGGCTCAATTATTTCTCACTCCTCCCCCGAGTGGGGCCAACAAAATGCAATTTAATTTAAGAGCAGGCAACTCTATTAAGTTCCAATTGTTATTCAAAATTCCAATTCCAAAACTCAAACTCAAAGTGCATATCTCATGTTTTTGAGGGCGTGTGGGCGTGCCTGCCTGTCGTGGTAATTGTTTTAAAGCATTCATACATAAATTTGGCTAATTAAACATGACCGCACAAACACACATTCCCAGCACCCACAGTCGCCCGGGAGGAGCTCGTTCGGAAATGGTAATATGAAAATATTCCCTAATAATGGAATAATGTAAATAGCAGTAGTTTCAGGATGTGAACAGGATGCAAGGGACGCAAGCCACAGACAGGCAGCTAACAACCCGCACCGTACATATGCCGGCCTATTCGGCTATCGAAGGCAATGGCACCGAACCATAATTCTCATATAACATAGATTCAATTGACTTTAATTCAAGGGGTCGGGCATCGATTGCTTCGAGGCTGCTACCTGATTCCGAACTTGCCACTGTCCCTTTTGCTGTTCCTGATATTGATATATTGTACAATATATTAGTTAGGCAGCTTTGGCTATTCACCACATAGCTGGAAATCATTATTAATTACCAAAAATTGCAAATTGTTTTGGCTTGGTCTCTAGACTCTAAGAAAATAGGTTTTAATGAGGACTATCAAGAGAATAATAGAGTTACTTAAAGTTGAAGCTCTTCTATAATATTCGAACCATTACTTTGATTTCCCCTTTTTTTACTTTATCTCGAAAATCCCTTCCCTCATAAATATGAATTAGTTCGCTTGTGGTAATTGCCAGTTCACCTTATCCATTTCACAGTTCATTTTCAGTTCCCTGAAAATCACACACTACCCAGTTTTTGGCAGGACTCCCCGCTCTAGCCCAGAGTACGTTCATTTCCAACTATTGACTAATTAAAAAAATAAACGAAATCAACGGAACACAGAAGGAAAGAACGGAATCTAGATGCCATAATAAGCAACTATTTCTGGTTTTCTTTCCCTTTCGGTCACTGGTTTCTGGCTAGCAGTTACCAGTATCGCCCTTTTGGCCTTTGGTGTGTTTGCTCGATGTTAAAATTTCTGGCTAAATGGTAGAAGCAAAACAAGGAATGTCCATACCTCGAACAAAAAGAGGAGCCACAGTAGTAGATTTCTCGTATTTTTCCAAATGACCCAATAAATTTGAGCTCATTATGACGCCAAGCCACGCTCTTCTCTTGCCGGCTTTGTTTGTGGCCAACTGAAATAGCAAATGGCAAATGGCAGAAAAATCAAAAATAAAAGAGAAACAGTAAAACAGTAAAATAAAAAGAAAGCAGAAATTGTAGAAGCAGCGGCGAGTAAGTAAAATAAATGTGGCAGCAATCGTAGCGAGAGGGAAAATGAAATGAGCCACCAGCTCCAGCCAGGAGCCAGGTAATTGCTGTAAGAGGGCCACTGCCACAATGAGGGGCAATGAGCGTTGCCCGGGGCATAATGAGCGTGAAAATAGTGAAAATATGAAAACGTCTTCGAGCAGCATGGTCGGAGTGGTCAGAGGGCATTGGGCGTGGCAATGAATTACAGGTGAACACAATTTTTGATTTGCTGATGGCTAATTCAGCTGACAGGGCAGAAAAGTATGCTATGTTTTTTTTTATTGCCAATTATTCCTTGAGGCACTTTAGTAGACATATTTAAAATATTATACATACTTGAATTAAATAATATTTAGATTTTTAATTGCCACTCAGAAACTAGAAGGGTATGCTGGTATTTTCGGAAATTTGGTTCCATGTCCTGTTTGTAAATTCACTCTGTTTTTGATGCTTGATTTCACAGCATTCAGCCCAGCTTCAAATTATGCCGCAATTTTGGTTAGCCAGCCTGCGCTTGACCGAAATCCATGCTTAGGCGCTTTATTACGGCTAATTAGGATGCCGTTGCAGTTGCAATTGCAAGTGCAGCAGGAGCTGCTACAGTCACAGGCCCAGTTGCTGCCTTTGCTGCTGCATTTTCGGACAGCTAATGCCAAGGCCCATACATACACGCAGCTGCGCCGTATGTTTAGGCATTCGAGTGTGCACATTTGAATAATTAATTTGTGCAGTGGTAATTTACACGTTGGTTGACTGGCTTTTTGGTCGGAATTCGGTTGTGCGGCTGTGAATCGCTCTGGGGCCCGTGGCTACATGTTATTTGATTATTTTGCTAGGCCAATTGCATTCGCTTTTGAGGCTTCCAGTCTGTGTGGCGAACTGGTGGGCATGGAGCGAGGGGCGTTAGGCGTTGGGCATGACATGGCATATTTATGACAATGGTAATTAAATTTAATTGTTGCACTTCTCCGGCAACGCCCCCATATCGTTGCGGTCGCTGGGCCATAACTTAACCCTCTAACGTAGCTTTTGCACGCATCCTGGCTTTTTTTGGTTATACTTTATTTTTATCCTTTAATTTTTGTGGCTTGTTGGCCTTCGCCACTTGTCAACGGGCATTGGCTTTTCCATTTTTCCATTTCTGGTACTAGGCATTTGTTTGCCTCTCGGTTTTATTGTCGCCTTGTCCATTATGGACTCTACTTAGGCTCCTTTGCGTGCTGTTACTGATATGATAAGGTTAGTTAGAGCCGCCGACTAACCAATCCTCCCCCCGGCCAGTTGTCGGCTTAATTGCTATGCTAAACGCTAAATCATAGCCTCACGTGCACCACGTAATTAGCTTAAATTGTAAGCTGTTCATGTCCGAATGTATGAGTGTGTGTACGAGCGAGTGCATGCACCCACACACAGGTGTGTGTGTGGTGTGCGTGCTTCTAATTAGCCAACGGGTCAAATGGAGTCCTATCCTGGACCATGCCAAGTTTCTCCATTGTGGCCGTGTTGATTGGCTCAATTGGATGTTGTATTAGCTTTGTGTGCATTCATCAAAGCCTTTTTTCACACTTGAATGGAAAATATAATAAATTTGCATAGTAATTAATTGCATTCTTTCGAGGCATGTCTATTTCAAAACTCTGTTATTCATATTAAATTGAAAATGAAATTTTAAACGTTTGCCATTTTATAGTGAAATCATGTAAAATATTAGAAAATACTTGGATGAAAGTAATATTTATTTGAGGTGTCATTTGTCCATTTATTGCTACATATATTTATTCAGTAAAATTCTTGGCTTCAGTTAGGCAACTGACAAAAACAATGTTTTTGTAAATCTCTCTCTTTATTTATTAAATATGCGGTGATACTCTCCACCATGTTTGTTCAACAGCTTTCATATTTTGTGCTCTAACTAAATTTCTGATACACCAATTCAGTTCCCGGTTAAGTATTATTTGCCAATAAACCAACCTGTTTATATTCGATATTATTAGCTTTGTTAATTATATAAATTTGACTAATTTATGGACTCTGCATACAGCCACTGCATACTGAAAATGTCTTAGATTCAGTACAATAAATAAACAAATTTAGCCGAAATTAAAACCGGTTTAATTAAGTGAGATAATCGAATAATAAATGGACTTTACCATAGCATTTATATGCACATATAAATGTATCTGCCGGAATACGGCCGAGAGGATCTTCGTTTGTTGTTCATTTCAAAGTCAAAGTCTAAAAGGGAATACAAATAAAAACGACAACACTTCCTTTATTATTTTTACTTAT